ACACGCAGGCAGCGAGGAGAGCCCTGCTCCAAAAGCAATGCCTTCAAAGCATCCCGTTAATACCCTGACCCCATCCTGCCAATAAACTCGGTCTTATCCACCAAGCAACCGCCTTCAAAAGTGCTCCTTGGCCCTTCCACTCCCAGCACCGCTCCGGAGCGAGGCTAATGTATAAGGAAAGCTTAGCTGGGGCTTTCTTAATATACTTGCTTCAGCAAGGAGGGCTTGCCAGCCCCAGCTGCCTTCTTGGATCAGCTGGTTTGAAGTTATACAAGCCCCGCCGAGGGCAGGAGGGAGCACAAAGGAGAGCAACAGGCAGCAAGCAACCCCCCCAGCACCGATGGGGAGGCCGAAGGGGCTCAGCTCCCAGGCGGTGAGACCTGCAGCATCCCCAGCACAGCCCGGAGCTGGGTTCCCAAGGACAGCCAGCCCACGTGTGTCAGGACCACGGCAGCCGTGGCCCACGCATGCTTGCAGGAGCTGGGAAAGGCAGAATTATTTGTAAAACTGAAATGATTCGGAAAGTCACTCCAGCACCCTAACTCCCCGAGCAGGGAGGCTCGGCCTGTCCGGACCAGCCCACCCACCCCCCTCCCAGCTCACCCCACTACGGCGGGGCTCCCCACCGGCCCCACTCCACTACGAGAAGTATCACCCACGCGTACATCTCCTGGCAGGGAGGAAGGAACCCGTAGTTAAGCAAGCAGCTAAAAAGCCTCGTGAAGAAAAAAAAAAAAAACAAAAAAAAAAACCCCAACAACAACCAAACCCTGCAAAAAGCATCTGTTTTCAAGGAAAAACTCGAGCTGCCTCTTCCCGCACACACACCCCCACGCAAGAAAAAAAAAAAAAAAAAAAAGTGAAGCAATAATTTTCCCCTAGAAGGTCTTTCTGCCACGCAGCCCCGGGGGAACCCCGGTCGCGGTGGTGCTGCCCACCCCCCCCGGGGGTGCAGGCGGCAGGCATGGGTGGCGGCGGGGGGGGGGGGGATGTCTCCCCTAACCCCACGGGGCCGTTACCTGTGGGGTCGGCGGCGGGCACGGAGCTCCCACGCTCGGCTCCCGGGGCCGCGCCCGCCGCCGCTTTATGGCGCCGGCAGCGCCGGCCCCGCCGCACTGATTGGGCAGCGGCGGCCGGGCCGGGGGCAGGACGGGGGGACAAGGGGCCTCCCTCCTCCTCCTCCTCCTCCTCCTCCTCCTCCTCCTCCTCCTGCAGCGAAGGCATCGCAGCCTGGCTGCCCCCCACCCCCGAGAATGGGAGGGAAGTCCCCCGTCCCCCCCCGTCCTGCGCCGAGGGAGGGCGGGAAGGGGGAAGGGAAGGGCGGGTTTGGGTCCCTCCCGACCCGAAAAAATAACCCTTCGTCTCGCATAGTTCTGGGAAAGCGGCGGCGGGAGGGGATCCAGGGCTTTCCGCGGCGTTTACATTAGCGGCTGCCGCCTTTGCATAACTCCCAGGGATGGAAATCAGCCGCCCTGGTAAACGGCAGTGGGGAAGAGAGGGAGGAATGGGGGGCCCCCCCAGCCTCAGGCTGTGGCTTGATGCACGGGGTTTTGGGGTGGGGGAACAGCCAGTGCCTGCTCGATGCCCCGCTTTGCCCCTTGCAGCGCCCAGATGGGCAGCCAAGACCCTCACTCTGGGGCACAGGCGAGGGAGGAGAACTCGTCCAGCCCAGCCGTGGGTGTGGGAGCACCCACTTCAGAGTCACCCGGGTGGCAAGGGGCACCCGTCAAACTGCAGGCACTGCCCGGTATTTTTCCACCCAGGCTGCTCGCTCGCTGTCCCATCCTCACTCACACTCAGCCCTCTGCACCTCCCAGCCCGGACCCAAGGGCCAGGAGAGCAATGCCAGCACCGTCAGAAGGAGCTGAGCCCCTGTGAAGATGCCTGCACGCACACGCAGGTACCAGGCCAAGCACACGCCACCCACACGCCTGCCCTGCCGTGACAGGATCCTGGGCTGTGCCCCACACCAGCCTCAGGGGAGGTTGACACTAAAACTGCTATCCCTCCAGGAGCTGAGCCCTCCTGACCATCGCAGCCCCCCTACTGCCTCTGCCCCACCAGAACCTGGAGAGAAAGTGGCCAGGGAGAGCTGGATCTTCAGCCAGGAGGAGGTGGAAGTGCTGGCTAAGGCCTCACCTTGATTTATTGCCCATCTCAAGAGCCAGGTCCCCACCCTCCCTCCAGGGACAACCTGGTTTATTCTTTACCACCACCTTGCAGCAGCCATGTGTGTTAATCCCCTGAGGCTGTCCAGACTCAAGGTAAAATTCAGCTGCTTGAACAAGGGAGAGCCACCAAGCATTCCAATCGCCTTCCCCCAATACCCCAGTTCCTGCACCCTATGCATAGAGCAAAGGTTTCAAACACAGAAACAAATGCGGTGGTTTACCCATGAAATTAGCTCAGGATCTCATAATCAGACCAAGTTCATCTGTGGTCACCTGAATCTAACAGCTCAGCTGAAGCAAAAGGAGGCAGAAGCTGGTGCTGAGACCCAGTCAGGCCAAGAGAGACCCAAAATAGCTCCCATAAAGCGGAGCTGTCAAGTCACAGGCAATGTCAGGCCCTTTCCCCCTAGGTTTGCAGAGAGGGTTTGTTTAATCAGGACACTGACAGCTCCAATAGCTCAAAATTATTGGAAATGTGCTTGCAACCTCTGAATTTCCCAGAAACATTGGCCACTAGAGCTAGCGGCAAACAAGCCCGGGGCATTCATGGGTGGAAGTCCCTGTGGCATTGGGGGACGCTCCCCCGACCCAAGCAGCTCCTCTTTTCACCCGCTGAGCTCTGAACAACCCCAAAGGGAAGTGGGGAGCAAAGGCAGCTTGCGATGTAAACACCTCACCTCCACCCCAGAAATACACCCCGGACAGCAAACCCCTGCCTGGGAGAGACCCCCTGAGCGGGCAGGGGTTTCCTGGCTGTGCTGGGAGGATGTCTCTCCTTGCCCCGGGCGGGGGGAGGCCTGGGGGCAGGCCCATGCCCATGCCTTCGCCCTGCACAACATGTTTACGAGCCCGCAGAGAAGAGGCAGGCGCTGCCGCCGCGGGGCCAGCGCCCTCTCCCGGGAAGCCGGCGGGGGAGAAGAGGCTCTTTGCCGGCTCGCAGAGCTTAAGGCAGCTTGTTTACTGCTTGCCTTTCCCTCCTCCCCTTCCAGGCTGCTGGGTTGGGTTTTGTTGAGTGGTTTTATCTTTTTTTTTTCTTTTTTTTTTTTTTTTTTTTGAGAAACACGACTCAGCCCGTGCCTTCGCCCCAGCTGCGTGCTCCAGTGACCCCTATTGTCACCAGCGTCCAACGAGACAAAAACCTCATCGGGGAGCTGGGGGGAGGCACGATGCCAACAGGTGACACCTCCCAGGAGTGGATTTAAATCAGCCTTCAAAGGGCCCCGCTCTAAATGTGCAGCGCGCCGACCCAGAGACAATGCACCGCTCCAGGGGCGAGTCCCAACTGGCACATGTTTTTCTTTCTTCCTCCTATTAATTCGTGGGAACACCTTTATTCGCCTGCCCCGGCACTTCCCTCCGGCGCGGTTTATATCTTGCGAGAGTTGCCAGGGTTGGAAAGCACCCGGGGAGCTGGGAGGGCTGGTCAGGGCTGGACTTTGCAGCCCGCTGTCTCCAAGGCACCAACGCAAACCCGTCAGGGAGAGCACACAGCAAGGTCCCTGGTCTCTCCAGGGGGGACCAGCACAGTCGAGACTCTCACAGCCAGCATGAGATGTACCCACTATTATGTGTGCCCAGCCCGATACCACCCTGGCATCTCTGTTTTTCCAGGAGCCAAGCAGCAAGGGGTGATGGCTTCCCTCTCTCCCCCAGCCTTGCTGGGGCGGCTGTGGCCCATCCCTGTCCACATATCCCTTCCCATCCCTGTCCTCATGTCCCCTCCAGCTGCCCAGCCACTGCGCACCCCTGCCTCACTGCTGTGACCCCCTGAAAGTGCAGCCTCATGCATTTGGGAATGCCTTAAAATCCAGGAATGTCACAGTACAGGGAGAGAAAAAAAAAAAAGGGGGGGGGGGGGAGGAGGTGGAGAGTGGAACTCAAGGATCCAAAAGGCAGGATACAAAACTTCCCTGTGGCTCCGGCCCTGGGGCAGATGGCCACTGGCTTGGCTCCTGCAGTGCTGGGACTCTTTCCCAGCTCCCTGGGGCCATCTCAAAGGGCGGCCCCTCGCTGCAGGGCCCTGCAGCTGGAGAGCTGGCCACCCCGGGGATCTCAATCCCAACAGACCGCAGACCTGCTCTGCCAAACCTAGCTACCCATTCGCCCGTCACCAGCGCTGAACGTTTTTTCTTCAACAGAAATCAATGAGTTCTTTTTTAAACAGAGACATCGCACAAGGAGGATGAATTGTCCATTTTGTTGTGACTGGTTAGACCCTAGGAGGAAGCCTGACGCACCTGAAAGGCCCCAGCCCTGGCAATGGCACAGCTGGGAGGGAGGAGGGACAAGCATAGACTCGTAGAATAGTTTGGGTTGGCAGGGACCTTTTAAAGGTCATCTAGTCCAACCTCCCTTGCAATGCGCAGGGACATCTTCAGCATCCCTCCTCTCCCCGTGCCCAACAGCTAAGACATTCTCAAATTCAGATACACCATTTTCAGGCCCATCTGGGAAAGCGCTTTGGGCTGTGAGGTCCCTCACAAGGAACTGAAATGCCCCCAGGTGAGACCCGATGTGGGCTGGATGTCCTGATTCTGCATCGCCTCCATCTCTGCCCACCGTTGGGCACTGCTGCCTCTTGCTTGGACCCACCACAGCGTGCTCACCGCCGCTGGGACCTGGGCTCCGGAGGGGCTCACGGGGCTGGAGGAACTGGAGATGCAGCCCCCTTTTACCCGTGATTAGCAAGGGCTGGAAAAATGAACCTAAGACTTTAGCAAGACGAGCAAGCGCTTAATTAACACGTTGCCCCCGGTAAGACTCAAAACAGGAGTTTGCTGCTGGGTGGGGGGAACATCTGCGCTGGGAGGGGGGGGACACTGACCTTGTACAAGCAGCGGTGGCTGACTGGTCTCCCCTGGAGTGCTGCAGGAGGCTGACGAAACCCCCCAAAGCAGGGAGGCGGTAGCTGCTCGCCCGATAAGCGAGCAAACATTGCACGCTCCGCAGCAGGCCCATGCTCCCTTTGAAGATGCTGCCAGGGTCAAGGGTAGCCGAGGGCTGGTGACCGGATGGCTTTCGGAGGCAGAGCAGATTACCTGGGCTGCACAGAAGGGCAATTTAGGAAAGCCAATTAATAAATAGTAGCGTGCAGAGGCACATGCAAAGAAGATAAAAAAAAAAAAAAAAAGCTCCCTCCCCGTGCAATTCGGCTGCAATACGTGCCCATGACGCATTTAGGGGAAGAGGGGCCTTGGGAACACAGCAGCCAGGAAAGCCTTGTGCAACCCCCCCGCCCCGGTTGCTTGCACCTCCCTCTCCCCCCCTTCCTCAGCCACCTTGGTGCCGGTCGCCATGCCCGGTGCCCGCTTTGCCAGCCCTCGCAGGAAACCCCCAGCATTGCTTCGCCCCCCCAGCCGCCCCCTTCCCCAGCACCCCTCGGGGTGGGCTCTTGGCAGCGGGGGCATCACGGCTCGGGGCTCGGGGCCGGTCTGGCAGCAGCCTCCTACCTCTCGCCGGCTCTGCCCTGCACGCGTGCAGAACCTTGCGCAGAGGCCGAGCGTCTTCAGCGAGCGGGGGCCGCCGCCGAGGAGCACGTGCTCGCCTTCAAAAGCGACCAGGGGAAGCTGGAAGATGAGAACGTCAGGGACAGGCGGGATTTGAGACCTAGAAATTGCTTGGCTCGGTTTGCTCTGTACAAGGGTGGAGAATATCCCAGGGAGCGCTCAGCACATGCCTTTCCCTGCAGTTGGAAATCGGTCACAGTGTGCATTGGCAGGGTTGTTTTTGTTGTGGGGTTTTTTTTGGGCCTTTTTTTTTTTTTTTTTTTTTTACTCGCACTGTTCATGCTGCTAAATGCACTCCCAGCTAGGTCAGCTCCATGTTAGCTGTGGCTGGCAGATTAATTTCAGCTTAATACACTTCACAGCTCCGTAAGTGAGAGCGCAGAAATCCTCAAAGTGCTGCCCAAGTGGGTTCAATGGTACGATCCAGGCCTGACATTGTAAATTATAAAAAGTAACTGCAGAGTGCTGTTGTCCATGTCCCCCTCCCTTATGGGTGAATTAGGTCCCTGTCCTGCCACAACATATGCTTAACCTGAACTGGTGAAGTCAACAGACCCGGACACTTGTATAAGGTTACACAAGCAATTTTGCTTCAGCTGGAGAAGAGGCAAGCTAGTGCAGAGCTTGCCTCGGGGGCTGTCAGGTGTAATGGGTCAGAGCCCAGCCTTCACGGTCAGTCCCAAGCAAGGAAACTACAGACAGATGGCAATAGGCTAAAAAATACTTCTAATTAATGTAAGGAAATACCAGAGATGTCCTCGCTGAGCAAACGAGTCTTACACACCCAGGAGACCAAGCATGAAAATCACATATAAAAAAATAATCTTGCTATGTTCAAGCAAGGGATTAATATTTAAAGCTGAACTGCAATACCTGAGACCTCAGACAATTCCAGTTTTAAGGTGCTATGGGCCTAAAAGGATCACATCCATTGCTGACAGTCTTTGAAGGTGTCCTAAACTATTTATGTGAGCGCAGTCTGGGGCTGTATGGGGCAAAAAAAAATACCAGTCTTTCCCCAAAAGTTCACTCCGGGCATAGAATATTTATGTTAGAGGGAGAGGGGGTTTGTGCAGCAGGGTGCGAGCTGAAGTTTCCCAGCTTGCAGGGGCTGTAGAGCATCGCCTGAGACCTAAAGCAACACCGAGGAGTACGGGGTTGCTGTGGGTCAGTGGGTACAGGCTGCAGCTGGAAGGGGGGAAACAACCCCCACCCTCCCCACGTCGCCGAAAGGGGCCGGTTGGGTGCCCGGGGGAGGCTGCGAGCGGCCAGCGCCGGGGCTGACCCCGCGGCCGGGCAGCCTTGGACTTCGCCGCCACGGCGAGCCGTGCCAGTTCGTGTTGGGCAAGGATAAGAAACCCAGCCCCGGCCCCCCTGCCAGCCCGGGAGCGAGAGGCTCTGCCGCTGGCGGAGGTGACCTCGGGTCTGCTGAGAATAGGCTGCTCCCCGCTCCGGGGCCACGAGGGACACGGGTAATTCGGGATCGAACAGAGGGGGGAACGAAGCCCTCCTGACGTGTTTGGTGTTGCAACCCCTGCCCTTATCGTTGTACAGAGTCCAGCCACTCAGTGCTCTTCTCTGAGCCCCCTTCTAAATTTGGGCTGCGTTTACTTGTCCACCTATTTTTTAAGCCTTTTTTTTTTTTTTTTTTTTCCTCCTTAATAGCTGCACAGCTCATGTGAGCCGCTTTTGTGAGGAGCTGTTGTGGCAAGATGAACAGGGCAGATGCGCCCACGCATGCACCGAGCAAACCCCAGGAAGCTGCAGCTGGGCTGAGCGGAGCTCCATCCTACCAGGCCTCTCGGGGTGAAATTCCATGGAAATGGCCCTCTGCACTCCCACAGTAACCGTGTCGGCCCACTCCTGCTCACAACCTTGGTCCTTTTTCCCGGCAGAAGCCAGCACAGTCCCACTGAGGTCAGTCCAGAGCCAGACGGGCATCAGCGGAGCTTCACCAGCCTCTGAGGATCTCACTGGGCATCTGCTCAGTTGCCAACTGAAAAAATAAAAAAAAAAACAAACAACTTTTTATTTGACAGTTGCAACCTTTCCCCAAGGACTTCTGAGTCTTTCACGTGTGAGACAGCCACCATGCCAGCTCATCCCTAACCCCTCCTCTCATCTCTTGGGCTCAGCAGCACAAATCCTTATGGATTTGTGCTCAGAGCTGTTCCTCCACAGGGTTTCCCATAGCTCCTTCCCACAGCTTTGCCTGCCACCACTAGGACATGCAGATATTTTGCAGCTCATGGCTGCCCCTTCCCCATGTCAATTTTGGCATAGTAACCAGCTGATGTGCGCGGGCTGTGAGTGAAGGGCATAACCCAGTCCTCACCCCCACCTCCCGAAAGCAAAGCATCACCCAAAGAACAACATCCCTTCGTTGTCGCCGCGAGGACGTGCACCACCACCACCCCACCCCACACCCCCCACCCCACTGCTGATAAACCCAGCAGCTTCAACCAGTTGAATTAATGCAGCGTGGCCAGCGCCTTGCAGCGTGGCAAGAGGTGACCTCCCCAGGGCACACGTGTGTGCACGGGCAGTTCAGGCGTGATCTCTAACGTGCTTTCACTGTCATACCCCTCCGGGCCTGGCATAGCACCCGTTACCCTCCTTGCCCAGGGCAGCACAACGATGCACAGCAAGCTCACCAGCTCAGGGTGATGGAGCGAGTAGCCAGTAGCCCCGGACTGTCACCCCGAGGTCCCCAGCACCAGCCCCGCGGTTATTTAGCCACCGTCCTTGTACTAATTGCCGGTGTGGAGTCCCCAGCCCGTTGCTGAGACACAGAGCCCCGCTGCTGCTGGGGACAGCTTCACATTCCTGATTTGACAGCGCCACCTCGTGAGGTGGCCCCGCTCCTGGGGACCCCCCACCGCTGCCTGCACCCACGGGTGTGCTTTAACCTGCCCGTGCCCACGAGGGTGGCGGTAACAAGGACTGCAGCCACCGCGATGGAAGGGGGCAAGGCGCTCAACATAACGCAACAGTGTTTTGTTAAGGGCCAGAACGAGAAAGCTCAGGGCTTCTTAGAAACACGAGGTTGGCAGAGCCTATCCTGCAGCCCCCCCACTTAGACAAGCACGGAAAAAATGTCCGGTGCAGGAGAGGCCACAAAACTTCTGCTCCACACTCTCCGCAGGCCACGAAACCCTTCCCACTCCCACCAACGGCACAGAGCCACAGACAAGCAGACCCACTTCTCTGCTCCAAGGCACATCAGAGACCCCAGGCACGACGGTGCCCAAAACCTGGAGGGCACTAGCAGCCCTGCCAGGTCTGACACCACAGCTTTACGGATATGGGGATCAAATACCCACCGGGGGAGCAGACTCGCCCTCCTGCCAGGGGAACAGGTCACTGCAGCTGCAAGAGAGATGTGGTTCTTTCCTTCTTTCCCCTCTTCCCGCCGGAGGGTCTCCAAGGTTGCGTCTCAGCACCAGATCTGATGAAGCAGGACAGCTAATAAGAAATCTGGGGTTGATCTGTCCAGGGCAGATGTAGCAAAGTCTCCTGTGAAATTTCCATCACTGCCAGAGCAGATGCACTGGCAACAACCATGCTCAGTGCCGAGGTGCTACGAAGAATCTGGTTTGAAGGCAAGAAGATTGCCCAAGTGGGGAGAGGGGAGGGGTTTAATTTCAAGACTGCCCACATGCATTTGCAGGGCTGGTGATTAGAAAAGAGACATTTCCCAGAAGGGCAGCAAAGAATGAGGTGTCAGGGGTTCTGTGGTCCCCAGGAGCCCTGCAGCCTCCCCAAGGACTTGCTGGGAGAAGTGTGTCACAAGCAGCGTGGCACTCCAGAACACATTCCTGGGATACGGCAGCATGATGGCCACTGGTGAGTTACCTTTTTGCTGGAGGCTTCAGCCCCTCTAAGCACACCCCAAAGGGAACAGCAGGGAAAAAGCAGCGTTAGGCCTCTGAAATGTGGGTCCTCCCTATGACATAGCCGTGCCTTCATGCAAGTAGGCTGATGCCAGCTCACCCACTCCCGTGGGGGTGGCACTACTGACACACTGCTTTGATGTCCTGGGTGGATGGGATGGGGGTCTGCAGTGACTATCACTCTACCCAGAGCCACAACCTGCTCCCAGCCTGATGGCACCTGCTAATTTGGGGGAATTTGCTACCAGAACCTGAGCAAGAGGACTCGGAGGGCACTAAGGCAGTGGGGCTGGAGCAGCAGCATCAGAGCACAGCACACAGTTCCTCTCCATGATAGCGAGGTGATGCCTGGTGTCTGGGCAAGGTGGAAGAACACAGCTTGTCCCCTCCAGCCACCTCCTCCCTTCTCCTGCCCTACAGATGCCACCGTATTTGTGCCCAGCCTCCACGAACCACCTTTGCTATTTAGGAAGCTGCCATCTGAACCTTCCAGCTCCTGCATGCAGCTGAACCTGATGCTTTCCAAACAGCCTGTGCCACCCGCCCAGAGCACATGGGTGCACTGGGAACCAAATGTCATGGACTGTCCAAGATCCAAATCCTCCCGTGTGTGCACAGGACAAGACCATACCATGTATCCCCTAGAGCTGTCCCTCTCAAAACTCATCCTTCGGTTCATATTTACATCACACTTGGCAACACAAAGCCCAGGTAACTTTCTCTTCTCCCCCTTGTAGCAACCATAGCCTCCACGGACATGGGGCTTCTGCTGAGAGATGAAGTTTTTGTCGACTTTTTCAACACATTTCTGAATCTTCCTGTAAGTCCACTTTCCACCATAAAGCCTGGGACCTTTCTGAGCTCTTCTTTGGTGAACTTTCAGCTTCTGTGGTGGTAGAGGGCCCAGGAAAATTGGGAATACACCACACTCAGGCTGGAAAATTAGGGAAACCTGAGGACCTCAGCTTGGAAATAAAGGTTGGAAAGGGAAGACAGTGCCCTTCTCTGTAGTAAGGACTAACTAGAACAGCTGGGCTCTGGGCTCGCCTGCCACCCTCCATCTCTTTCAGCTCTCCCCTTTCCTTTTGATACAGGTTTTTGGCCAGACACCTATTTACATCAGCAGCACGGGCCGGTGGGACCTCTGGCCAGAGCTGCCAAGCCACCTGGTGAGAAAATGCCCCGTCTGAGGAGGAGGAGGGTGAGGAGGAGGGAGGAAAGGCACAAAGCATGGGAGGGAGGGAGCCCATTTCTCATTACCAAGGCTACTCTCTGGCTGTCCTGGTCATGCAGCCAAGGGATTATTTCAAACCCAGGCATCACTTTGCTTTTAAGCCCTGGGAGGAGCACAAACTGTTTAAAGTCCTGGTGCAGCTTATAGGGTCCCTCTAGCCATCAGTAAACATCGATATCTGGATTTAAAGAGAGCATGTGTGGTGGCAGAGGAAGAGGACAGGAACGTCAGCCCCTTGTGTCCTGTATTCCTCCTGAATTCACCAGGAGTGAAGTCCTGTTGATCCTCAAACTGACTCAGCCCCCCCTCCCCGTGGACAAATCTCTTCCCCACAGTCACGAGCGCCATTTGTGGTGCTCAGACCCTGTAGCAAAAAGGAACCTGCTCCTCCCGGCGCTGCTGGAAAGCTGCTGTGCCTTCCTACCTGGGCTCCAGGAAAGCAGGCAGGCTGCAAGGAGAGGCAGCCCTGCAGGCAGCCCTGCAACTCCGGGTCTCCCAGGTTTGCAGGCAGAGCTCACAGGGATGCAAGCAGGGGCTATAGCTCGAGTAACCCCCTTCTTTCTCAGCACAGGCTCCTTCCCTCATAGCAGGGGCCCGTTACTCACCCTAATCCCCAGGCAAGAGACGGCTCCTTGCTCACAGCCTAATCCTTTCCTTGGGCGTGGGGGGGGGGGGTTGCAATGCAGGATCCCAGCCCCCCAGCTTTGCTGGCTTGGCTGAAAAAGCACCGCCTGCCTCACTTCTGCAAATCCAGCTTGTGCCTCCACCTCATCCTCTGCCAGAAGCTCCTGGGTTTCATTCGGTCTGGGGAAGCAGGTGAGTCATCGTGGCACAGAGGAAACTGGAGTGGCTTCGCCACTGCAGCAGGGCTTCCTCTTGCCGGGGCTGACACTGCCTGGTGCCTGCCCAGCAGGTCATGCTTCTGCTCCGGGTTAAAAAGGCACTGCACACCCTATTTTTAGGGATGTAGCAGACCCCAGAGTTTCCACGGGATGAGTGGGGCTTTACCCCACAGCTCTAAGTACAGGCTTGGTGCCTCCATGGAGTTGAAATAGCTGCTTAGCAGGGTGTACCATGCAGTTCATGGGTCGAGCTGGGCTGGAGAGCATCCTCAGGCATGGGAAACTGGTGTCCCAGCATTTCAGGTTTGCTGCTATGCAGGGTGCCCAGAGCTCTCGCACTGTATTGCAATATGCTCCTCATCCGATGCATCCTATGCTGGGAAAACAGGGCTACACTGTGGTCTGTCCAACCAGCAGCAAGAAGACTGAATTGTGCTCGGTTTACCCCTAAAATGAGCCATTTCAGCCCAGCCAACTGCTTTGTCAGCCTGCATGTCAAACGCAAGGGAAAGCCACTGGAAGAAAAGCTATGGCAGTGGGGACTCAGAATTTCATTTCAGGAAACTAAGCAGTTCATCAAGGCTTGCTCCAGTGTTGTTTCTGGATGCATTGCTGCTTCTTCTCCATTTGGGTTGAACCTCAGGCTGAAAGAGGTTGAGGACAAGCCCCAAACTCAAGCAAAAAAGATGCACATTTGCAAGGGGAAGAGGCACCATAGCTAGGCAGACTATCGCTGACATGAGTGGGCTGTGCTGCATCCTTACAAACACCGCATGTGCATCCCACGATCCTGTCCAAAACTCCCATTTCAGTGCAATTTGCCGGTCTCCTGACTCACAGCACTGCTGCCGTCTGGCAGTGTCTGTTAGGGGGTGCTGGTGGGGTCTGGAGGGCTTTCTTGGGGACTGCTCCTGCATGCATTGCCATCCCCAATGCCACGCTCTGCGTTCTCTCTCTGACAGCAAAACGGCTGAACTGGCAAAGCGCTGACCGGTGGCTGCTGGAGAAGTGCATCAGCGGGAGCCAGGGCATGTGGCACTTTCGGGCCTTTGTCCAAGGAAAGGCAGGTGGGCACGGGGCAATTTGCAGCCAGCTGTGAGCCAGCTGCCTGGCGGGACACCGACACAGTGCTGAGGGCACGGATAAGCACCGGTGGGACAGGAGACACTGCGATCCCAGACGTGGCTTTGGAAGACGATCCAGTGGCAGAGCTCCAAAGCGGGTGCTGCACCCTGGGGAGATGCATTAGCCCTGGCTCTTCTCTACACTGTTCCCTCAGTTCATCCAGGCGATCTTTCCTTCTTTCTTTTTTTTAAAAAACACAGGCAACTTCACTCATCAGCGGAGCTTTCAGGGACTCCCTCCAACTCCTGTCCCTTGTCTGATCCACAGGGGAAGAACTGACTGACTTCTGGCTCACCACCGAAAGGCTCCTGGGGCTTGACGAGTCAGATGCAAGGCAGAGGGACCTCTACCTGTCCTTGCTCCACAGGCTGAAAGCCACTCACCTACGTGAAGGCTCCAGCATTGTCACTTTCTGCAGGACCATCATTGGTAAGAAACATGGGAGCTGGCAGGATGAGCAGTGCCCTGCCAGCAAAGTGGACTTTCCTGGATGCTCCCAGGAAGATGGGTTACCATCACCAGCTTTGCCTGGCTGGGGAATTCCCCCGGCACAAACAGGTCTGGATGGAGCCAGACCCACACTCCCCCCCATCATCATAATTCCCTGCATCCATTTCAGGGTCGCTGCTGAAAGCCAGGCACCTTCAGCCCATCATCACCAGGAGAGAGATCCTAAGCAAGATGCAGGAACAGGCCCTTTTTATTATTCAGAGTTACTGGCTGCCTAAATTCTTCATCCATTGCAAGATGGCCATGCAGGAGGAGAAATTGTGCCAGCCTCTGCTGCAGGAATATCAGGAGCGTTCATTACAGGCCAGCCCACAGGAGCCCTCAGGCTTTTCAGAGAATCTCTTCATGATGCATATTAAAAGGAGCCAGGGTTTGTCAGGGCCCTACTGCAGCAAGAAGGCCAAAGCAGATATCTGGACTCTGGTCAAGGAGGGAAGAAACACCCAAGAAATAAAAATGCCCAGATTTCAGGTGCAACCAAAAGGGCAGCTGGGGCCAGTTGGGAGCACAAAGGAATCACATCTGGATAAGGATGCTTTGGGATCGATTCCTCAGCAGTCAGAGCTTCCTGAAAACACCGCTGCCTTTGGAGACAAGGGAGAAGCAACCTATCCCAAAAGGCCTAGACCCAGTGCAGAGCAGGTCCTTCATCTGGAATACCTCTGTGAAGAGAAAGTCCCCTCTAACCTGCATGCTTCTGCACCCATTGTCCAGCTGCCATCCCTGAAAAAGCTGGTCAAGACCTTGAGTTTCCTTCCTTGGGCTCTTAGCGCCGAGACCTGCGCGGGACGGCCCTTCAGGGACTTCTTGAAGCTCCAGGACCGGTCTATGGAGACTCATCTCCTGGACCTGTGGCATGACTTGGAGGAATTTCTGCCTGTGGTGCTGGACACCAGCAGAGAAAACAGTTTCTTCCTGCGTCATTTGATTGGGGAGAAGATATGCAGAACCTACCTGGAGGAAGGCACCATTCAGAAGCTTCCCTTGGAGACCAGGACTCTCAGGAGCTTGCGGAACCATCTGATGTCTGGAGAATTCTCCCCCTGGATATTCAGAGCCCAGAAGGAGATTTGCAAGGTACAGAGTGGTGCTGGCAGTGGTCAGGCTGAGAGGTACAACCGGCGTTGGCACCCCTTGGCTGGTATGAGGGCTGTGGACGTGTTTAAGAAGAGAGATATTTGGAAAATGATGATGAAAAGAGATTAGGAAGGGAAAAAACTTACAGTCACAAGCTGGGACCAGTGACCAAGATGTGCCAGGCCAGTGGAGAGATGTACTGGGCAATGGAGCAGAGGTGAGCAGTCATTTAGCAGCTGGTGACCTCGTTTGTTAGATGCCCGTGCCAAGGGCCACGAGCTGACAGGACAGCGGTCATCCTTTCACATCTGAGTCGGTGGTTCCAGCGCAACACGACTAAAACACATTTACAACCCAAGCCCTTCTGGGCAGCCTCTGAGCAGCCAGATGGACCAACCTGGGTGTAGAGCTCCTGGCAGAGCTGTCCTGGGCGTCTCAGCGAGGTGTGACCTGCCCATGGCATCACCACTGCGGCCTCAGGGTATGGCGGGGCTTGGGGGTGGTGATTGCCCCTGGAGCACTGACTGAGGACAACCATCTTTGCTCCTCAGGTGCTCTGCTGCCTCTACGAGGAATTTCTGGCTGAAGATGACAGGACGTTCCTCCAGTTTATGGTAAAGGGGACAGGGGCATCCTCGCAGGGTGCACAGGCAACAACGGGGATGTGAAAAGTTGGAGAGGAGGTGGGAGGGGAAGCCCAGCATTAGCTGCAGTGGTCTAGCATCCCACTGTGTCCCCTGGCCAACACTGACACAGGGTGATGTGGCACAGCCTGCCCTGCTCCACCTGCCCGGAGCAACGATCCTCAGCTCCACCACAGCATCCCGTAAGCCAGCAGCGCTGCAAGCGTGCCCTGTCAGAGCTCCCCTGAGCCAGACCACAACCTGGCCCAAAACCAGCGAGGGACTTAAAAGCAGTCTTCCAGGATAGGAGGGGGTGAGACCAGGAGCAGGCAGCGCACTGGGTGACTGCCTCATGGGCAAAACACTTCTGGGAATTAACTCCCCCTTTTTTCCTCGCCCACAGCAAACCCTGCTATTAACATGACTCATGTGCAGACACACATGCGGATGGCCCTGTCCCAGCACAAGCACCTGGCCAACATGCTGGGGGAAGAGGGCATGCAGCTTTTTAGCCCGTGATTCAACCACGCTCAAGTTTTCCACATTTTTTTTCCACTGTGTAAAGGATTGATTTAAGAAAGCAGAGTCACACAAGCACTCATTTTCCCAGACTATTATCGCTCCTGGCAGCAGAAATCCTGCTAATCTCATGTTTATTAACACCTTAAATGCTAGCCTTACACCCAAAAACCTCCTTGCAGACAGAAACCCCCGAGCATCCCACCTGCTTGGGTCCTTGCACAACCTCTGCAGGCAGTTTTGCTCACTGCAGATGGTGTTGTTCAACCCGTAGGCCTTTCCCCAAACTGCGACGTAAAAATCTGTGGCTGATCCTGGAAATGGTAAGGAGAGTGGTAAGGAGAGGCTATCAGGGCTGGTGCCCCCCAAAGACCTGGCTTACAGATATGCCAGCATCTCAGTTGAGCAAGAGCTAAGCATGTTGGAAAAGTCAGCTGGCAGCTCCTGACCCTGCTTCATTAAATGCTCTTGGCTGTAAATTAATTAGCTGCTCAGGTTTTTAAGCATCTCTTGTCAAGAAAATTACCCCTCAGAGCAGAGAGACCTGGTCTGGGAATGCAATTAGCACTTCAGCAGGTGTCGAGGCCATGCTCTCCGCAGGCACCATCCCCTAAGCCAGACTCCTCCTGGGTCTCACTGCACCTATGTCAGGGGACCTGCCTGGGGGCTTAGCAGGGTTATTTTTGGTGCGTGCTCTCAGCAGTGTGTACCTCGAGCAGCAGCCAGCCGCTCTGACCCTGCTGCTTGGCCAGTCGTGCAAACTGCTTGACAGTGGGGAGACCCAGAACCTGCCAGAGGGTCTCGGCCTGGGGTGAGGGGGGTCCCAGGGATAGTAGCCAACCTAAAAGGCACATGAGGTTACCTGTCTGCCAGGGACACCTTCAGGGTTGGTTTTAGCCCTCCTGGGTGGATGTTGACATCTTCAGGAAAGCTGCTGCCTGTGCTGGCAAGCTGTTGTTTGGACTACCTGGGGGACCTGCTGCATGTCCCTGGTATGGCCCAGCTGCAGGCAATGTGAGCCAGCTTTAAGCAGCTGCATGGGTAGGTTTAAGGTCTATTCTGAGCTTTATGCTCACGCAGTTTTATTCCAGATGGTTTAAAGCTAAAGCAGACATCTAACTTGGGTAGGTTTGTACTCTAAGGTATATTAAAACATGCAGCTAGCCCATCGGGCACAGTGCAGGAGCAGCTCCTGAGATGGGGTATGTGCTCTGTTCAGTCACCCTCTTCTCTTCTTGCCATAGTCTCCACAGAGTGATATCCCGATGCCCAAGATGCAAAGCCATGCTGTTGGGGAAGATGAATGTTTCCTCCTGTCCCAGCGGATAAACAAGGCATTGAAGTTGAGCCAGGCCTTGCATGGCACAAGGAATTTGGAAGGTGTCGCCTCTGAGCACTGGCAGTTAATTGCTACTCGGGACCTCCGGAAAGGGGGCTCAATCCTGGCAGAGGTGGAACCTTTCCTGTACAGCACTGGTAAGAGGAGGCTCTGAATTTCTGCTGTGGCTAACATTGGCTCAGGCTGATAAAGCCTATTTTGTGCACCCGTGGTGACCAATGTCCACAGATGTCCACAATGTGCATAGATGAACTGCTGTATTGAAGACAGGGCATGAGCCTCGTAGAGTGGGTTGGGACATGGTGTCTGGGAGCCATCAGCTGTAATCCAAGCTTTGGCATCGACCTAGGGGCCAAATTCCCTCCTGCCAGTACCAGAGGCATCAAATGCCACGTCCCTGCACTGGCCTGGGCCACCAGATCAAATGGAGGCTACAGCAAAGTGACTGAAACCCAAAGCCAGCAATGGCCACTGTCACCCCACTTCCACATCTTGACTTTTTCCTGTGGATGCTTGGACTGGCCATGCTGGTGTGACACCTGAGCTTTTCCTTCTTGGATCATCTTTTGAGAATGACATCAAGTTTCTGGGCACCTGCTGGTGCACTGAGGGTGGCAGCAGTCACTTGTATCAACCCTTAGGTAGCTTGTGGGTCCTTGGTCACACCCAAGAAATGCAGTGTCAGAGGTAGGTCATGGGAACAGGACAGAGAAGGGGAAAAGAAAAGTGAGTAGCAATCACAATACAGCACTCAGCAAGTGCTGAAGGGCTGTCATAGCCAGCAGGAATGAACATTGGATCTGTCGTGGCTTCTCTATCTGATACAGACTCCCAGGATACGATGTTGAATGTGCCGGCTGTTCAGAAACCCTCACTGGCTGTGGATAGCCCAAGCAAGGAAAATGAGCTGTGTCTCAAAAGCCCACCGCTCGGTGAGTCCAGTCTGAGCAGGGTAGAAGCAGGGTGGGCCCACAAGCTTCATGCCCTTGGAGATACCCCAGCATACCCTTAGGGGACTGGACATACAGGGTTCTTGCTTGCATCCCATCATCCAGTAGAACATCTCCAGGAGAGAGAGGCCTCCTAGCCACCTTTGAAAAGCACCTGTTTCGGGGTGTTAATCCAGCCAGAGAGGGTGGGAGTGGGAGGGCTTCTTTGAAGCAGATGCTGAGGAGGTCAAACCATGCGGAGGTGAAGAGTTCCCACAGCAACCAGTGTCTCCTGAGCCAGGCTTACCATGCAGACACCAGCATGGTGGCTCTGGGGTCCTGTGCCCTGCAGACAGCTGTGAGCAGGCTCTGGCTGTCACCTGAGGAAGGAGCTAACCCTGTTCTGTCCCCACAGCCACTGAACCCGAGAACAGAAAGAAGAAGGCTGGGCCCGTGAAAAAAAACAAATCAAGCATAACGAAGTCCACCACTGTCGCAGTAGAGAAGCCGTCTAGAAGACCCAGGTCTGGCACCTTGCAGCACAGGGCCTTGCTGTTTATTGCCACTTCCACTCTTTCAGGAAAAAGATTTCTCCCAGAGCTTTCCTGTAGTGCCACTGCTCCCTGCTTCATCACTGGGCCCCCTCAGATGTAGGCATGGGTGGCCTGTGGGTCTGAACAGTAGATATAGCAGGGAAAGGAGAAAAATGTTTTAACACACCCCCAGCCCCATAGTTCAGATTCACTCCTCGCATACTGTGCATGTGTCATGCACTTCATCCACTGGCATGCCACCCGTACTGCAGCTAGGCAGCTCTCAGATTCCCAGAAAAATCACCTAAAATCACCCTGTGTCCACACTTAAATCTCTGTACTCACTGACCATGTGAATGTCCATGTGGCTTATGTCTCACCTCCTGGGAATATTCCAGATAGGAGTCCTCACAACTCCACATTGGGATATAAATGGTAACCAGGACACAAGTACTGAGTAGGAGCAGCTCTTATTGTTTATTGTGAAAGTCAGTCTCAGGAGCCACACTTAAACAATGTAAATAATTGACCCAATCCACTGATCTTCAAATAAGGGCTTGCTAACCTTATAAATGACCCAAAAAATCACAGTCCTCTCCCCGATCTGGTTTTCCAAAGCTCTTCTGAATCTTTTCAATATAGCTGTCCTCTGGCTTTACATCTATCGATAATCTCCTGATCTATCAGTTGCAAAGGTTTTCCACTCCAGAACACCCTCTCCATGGCCAAATGCATAAGCCCTCTGCCACCCAGTGGCAAATTATTGTTTATTCTCAGCAAGTACCAGAGGAAACAACCTCCTCCCTCCCATCACTGACCCAAGATCCTGCCTTCTCCCTTAACTCCCTGCATGAAGCCTCCTCTTCAGGCTGAGACCAGTTCCTTTGGATACATGGCAGCAAAGCTGTTGGGCAGGCACACCTATGGCAGAAAAGAAACAACTTGTCAGGAGAATATCGTCTGTATTTCTAACAGCTCAGTGGATGATGATCTTAAAGGTCTTTTCCAAACTAAATGATTTTATGGGCAAGACAGACAAGGGACACTGTGCTCCACCAGTACCTTTACTGACCTGTCTGCTTCACAAATCCCACACACCACTCATCCACACATTTCTAGCTCTTCTTCAGGGGTCTCTCTTGTTGGAGAAGCAAGGATAGAGGTCCTGGATCTTTTCCAGGTCACTGGTGGCACAGAGGTCACATCTTCTGCTGTCTCCTCCTTTACAGGCACTTCATTAAAGTATTGCACAACCCTGCCCACCTGCAATTCTTCAAGCAGTTCCTTGAGGAGCGCAATGCAGCGGAGCCACTGTGTTTTTGGATGGCCGTGGAGAAGCTAGTCACAGAGACCAACCCCAAGACAAAGAGCTTCCTCGCTAACAGCATTGTCAGAAATTATTTCCGTGCTGAAATCCCACCTGGTAGGTGCCCTCCCACCCTGCACTTTACTCCATTCATGATGAATGCCTCTTTTCCGTGAACTGGATGCTGGTTGCAGGTTTTATATCCTCTTGCAGGGACCTGCCAATTCTCCTTTGCCAGGTAGTGGAGCATGTATTTGCTGAGGCCTTCCACTGACACTTAAATTTCTAGTAAGGTGGCCTACACTTCTTATGCAGGATCTGCTTGACCGAGACCTGCAACATGCAACTCCTGCAGTGGCAGAAATAGTTTTTCCATATCTTGTCTCCTTTAGATGCTCTTAGAGTCATAGTTTAACTCCCAAAGTATGCAATTAGCACAGTATGAAAAAGAAAAGAGATGAAACAACCAAATTCAGCAAACATCAGACAGGGCAGGCAGAGATGGGACAGGGTGCCACTTGCAGATGTGAGGGTAGGAAGAGATGTCATGGTGGCTCGGGGGTGGCTGGCAGGTTCTGGCAGTGACCTCAGTTCTCTTCCAGAGGAGCAGCTGGACTGCCACACTTCAATCATCAGTGAAATAAGTGAGGCCAAAGTAGTCAGCCCCTTCATGTTGATGACAGCACAGATCTTTGTCCAGAATGCTATGGAAAAACGATGGTGAGGACCTGGGTCAAGCTGGATCCTAAGCCCAGTGGTTACACAAACACATCCTTCCCATGGGAACCCCAAGCTGACGGACAGGAAACTGCTACACATGTATTTCCTTATGAAATATCAGCCGGTGCATCTAAATCCCAGCCACATGCTCACTCCAGCAAAACTGGTATGGCAGAGCTTGTCCCACAGGTACCAAATCACTGTTGGGCTTGCGGGAGGTGGAGGAGGATATACACTAAAGGTAAGCAGAATGGACACTCCTGAGCCTCCCACATGCAAGAACAGAGCCCAAGGGAGGGGATCCAGCCCCCTGTCCCTTTCTCCAACCTCCTCCAGGAACCAAAGTCCAGTGGGACCCCAACCCCAGGGCTATCCCTGTCAGCTTCTCCCCACACTTAACCACCCTCCCACCAAACCACTGCCCTCCTCGTATGTCTGGCTGCCCTCGATGCTCTCTCTCTGATCTCCCATCCAACAGGTTTAAAGAGTACCAGGATCTGTTCCCTGAAAGTGATACACATCAGTCTAACCTTCGTTTGCAGCATGAGATGGAGAACTTCACCACAGGCAAGCTGGTAAGGAAAGGTCCTCTCTGCTGGCAGGCTGAGCATGTTGTCCAGGCTGGAAAGAGAGGAGATGCTGCAGGTCAAGTGGTGCTCACATAAAGGGGGTGTGTGTGGGGGTGTCAGGTTTGGAGAGTTGCAAAAAGACAGCTGATAGGTAAAGGCTCATTCCTACAAGCTCTGAAGTCCTGCTCCATGCAGACTTCCTTAAATCTGGTGAGGGCTCACCAAGTGATTCACGCTACCAGCTGCGACCACCAATGAAACAGAGAAATACTGGAAAGCAAAGATGACAGTCACAAATCCCACTGCCAAGGTGGTGCTCCAGCTCACAGTGGTGGGTCGAAATGGGAGGGCTGTGTCTGGAAGCAACCCTACTGCTGCAGCCAGGGGCTGGCTCCCCAGGGCTGTGCCGCTGGCTAACGCGAGCCGTGCCGTGTCTCTGCAGCGGTGCGCCTGGTATGCCATTCGAGACATCATCAAGAGCCTCTGCAAGTTCCGGAGGGAGATGGACAATGACAAATGCCGTGCAGAGTTTGAGGACTTTCTCCGTCAGGAACTAGGAAATGAGGAGGAAAGTATGGCTAGACTCCTGCCACCCCATCTCCTCCCTCCCCAAGAGTCACGGGTTTAGGCAGAGAAGTAAATGGAGGAAACTTGTGGTTCATCTCCCATCCCCATATGCTGACTTAATTTTCTCTGCTGCAGTCATATAAAGACCCAGAAGAGCAGATATCTCAGGATGGCAGATATTGCTGTGCAGAAATCTGCACGCTTAAGTGCTGGAATTGGGAGATGGGGTCCAGAATTTTGCACAGGCAACATGCACGTGCACAGATTCATGCAATGTTTGGTTTTCTGATGCGGGTGCCCCATGATGCTGTTGCATCTCTCTCAAGCAACAATGTATATGCAAATTTGCATCCCTTCCACAAAAAACAAGAGGAACTAAATGAAGCTTAGGTGACACAAGCCAAAAAATAAACAAAAATAAGTTGTTTTCTATGCAACAGGGAGCTGACCCTCAGAGTACTTTGCCAAAGGATGTAGATCCTGAAAGTTTACATACGGGTTCAAGAGGAGGCTGGAAAAGCAGTTAGAAAAGAAATCCACTGAAATTGCTAAAAATACACTGAGACCCCATCTAGATCAAGAGGTCACTGGAAATGAAAATTATGAAAGCAGGAGAATATTGTGCATGGGGAAGTGACACAGATTTTTACCTTTCTTTCTCCATAGTTATTTGTTTATGGCCTCTGCCAGAGACAGGATAATAGCTAAACAAACCAACAGACTCTTGATCTAACATACTTTGGCCATCCCCTATGAAAACAATGAACATAAGCACTCCATGAGTGCAAAGAGGAGGATGGGTGGAGTAGGTTACTAAGTTAGAGGGAAGGCTGCACACTGGATGGGTCTGAATTCCCTGGAGATCATGGCTGCAGGAACGCTGTAGTCCACATGGGTAGAAAGAACCTCAGAAAATGACTTGCAGGCAGGTAAAGCAAGCAGAGGCGAGGTGAAGGAGCAGGGTATAGCTCAGCATCAGATGCCCAGCTACCCTTAAACCCAGTGAGGGGAGAAGCAGGACACAAGACCTCTTCCCCTCTCTCAGACTTGCCCATCAGCTCGATGCAGAGCAGCAGCACCGTGAGCACTTACAGCTCCCACACCGCCTCTGCCAACACCCCACGGGACACAGAGCTGGGACTAGTGAAACGCCACCTGTTTAACAGCCAGCTCATTACCGTCAACTTCCTCGTTGATGACCTCCACTTTTATCTAGAGATTGACAAGTAAGTTCCCTTTCCACCAGGTGCTCAGGTACCACCAGTTGCCCTTGGCTCTGGCCCAAACCCATCCTGCAGGTAGTGCCCATCTCTCAGCAGCAGATAAAGCCTGGTCCATGAATTCATTAGCACACACTGAGGGTCTGTGCTGCCACCCCTAAACTCCTATCAGCACCTCTATGCAAGGCTGGTATCTGGATATCATGACACAACCAAAGTCTCACCCCTTAGCTGTCTACATCCAATCTGCTTGTGGTTACATGTCCCTGGAGCCCCCTCAAACTCTCCATTTCAATCAGAAGTCATCACCCTGGCTCAGGGTTTCAATTTGGGTATCCTAGAAGTACTTTTGTTTTGATAGTCCCAAACAATCTAACACATTGCCTACACCTTTCTTGATGTGCCGGTTGTGCCATTTCTCCACTGACTTTGCCCAGTTCCCTGACAAACCTGTAAAAGCGAGTCATGGCCAATGCACAACAGCCCTGGAGTCAGCACAACCCCACATGCGTAAGACCAGGTTTCGATTCCTCTCTTTTCCTGAAGAAGAGGGGCGAACATCACATCCCCCAGGTGAATGCCATGCCCAAGGGGGTGGTGGAGGAGGGAATTTTCATCGCTCCTGTTTCACTGTTCTACACCTTCTGGATTGCTTTTTCTGGCCCAGTAAATACAAAGACAAGCAGGAACATGACTGTCTAGCCTAGCAGACAAGACCGTTTGTCCCATAGCAAGATCTCACATGCCTTTGCAGGTTTTCCAGGATGGCTGATTCCATTGAAGCTCTGGAAGCCCGCAACATGCGGACAGAACAGGAAGTCGCTTTTCTCAAAAGGAAAGTTGCCATCATCAGCAAACTCTTCCTGACCTCTGATATTCCCCCCAAACTGCGGGTAAGATCCTGGGACCCACCCAGGAAGGGCTGTCTGCTCATTGCTCAAGACCATTGCATTGCAGCTGTGAGCAGTTGTGGGGAAAGGGGAACCAGGCAGAGGTCTGGATCTGCTCCAGCAAAGCATGCTGTGAAGCTTCAGAGCTCTGGAGCGTGGGACGTCCACTTGGGCTCCATGGTGTGGGAAGTCATCCATCACCAGGCTCATGCTAGCACTTGACCCAGATAGGCTAAGAACAAGTGTGCGGACAAGGAGGTGGTGAAATCCCCCACCTGCTGGAGAAATGCCAGAGCTGAAGCACCAGGATGGGTGCTGCATGCCACCAATTCAGTCCTTTCACTCTCCAGAGGTCAATGTCACCATCATCCCCTCCCCACCGCACCCACCTCTTCCCCTTGCAGTAGCCATGGCTCTGCCTCTCTTCCCTTTGGAAAGAACAGCACGGTGCTTTCCACAGAAATCCAGAGGGGATCCTGCCTGGCACAGTATCTGGCACAGTCAGCCAGGATGTAACTAGTATCTCTTCTTGGAGACTGCTGAAATGCAAGGCGGGGTCAGGGAGAGAAACATGCCTGTAGGGTCTATCAGGAGTGCCACAAACTGCTTCAGTTAAACAAGGTCTCTTCTGCGGCCAGGTAAACATCTCTGAAGAAGAGAGAGATTTAATCTGGAGTTTATCTTCCAAGGGGATACTGACCCGTATCCTCTACCACAGGGCCAAAGTCATGATCTTCCCCATCCTGATGTACTTCTGGAGAAGGTACCTATCCCCTCTCCCAAAGTGGGGGAGGCTCTGTGGATGCCACCCTTTTTCTCCAGCCACCCATTCCTTTGACACAATGAAAATACAGATGAGACACTCCCCAGGAGCTCAGCTGTAGATGTCTGCTTGGAGGTTTGCTGTCTTTAGTATTCCTCATACAGGTTCTGCACCTGGAAAGTGATGAGGAGCTTTCAGGTCCCCGCGAAGGACAGGGTGCCAATCCCTTTGCCCCATACAAAAACCCCTTCCAAATCATCTGACATCTACAATCCAGGTAACCTGAGTGCTGTCCCCCTGCTCCATGTTTGTCCTCAAGCTTGTTCTTCCGATGCAGAGATGTCCAGTCCTGGGGTTTTGATGTCCCACAGGGTTACCCTGAAAAGAGCCAAACTCCTTGCTTCACACAACTTAAGATGTGTGTGGTGCAGGCCTGATGGAAAATGAAGCATCTCAAATCCTTTCTGTCAAGTTCAGTCCAAATTGCCAAGGGGTTTTTTAGAAATTTCTTCGGGCAATAGGGAAGTGGGTGCAGAAACTTGATGAGCAAAGAGCTGTTGCATAACTCTAGTTTACTTCAAGAACCAAGTTAAAAATACTCTCGCACGCACCCTAAACCAGAAATAAAGCGACTAATCTTTTGAGTTGCAAGTCAGATGGGAGCAGGAGAAAGAGAAGAACCATGCCCATGCAGCAAAAAAAGCTCAGTGGGTTTAGATGGAAGATGCTTTGAACATCTGGAATGAAGAATAAGCTTCATCAGGATTTGAGGTGACACTGAGACATCTCTGGGGAAAGAGAAAGATACTTTTCCTTCCTCATCCACTTGTTTATTTCCAACACACTGAATAACTCTAAACTGAAAAACACAAAGAAAGCAGTGATAAGTGCTGTCACTCTGCCTGACAGCCCAGCTCCTTGACTGAATATGCATTTGGAAATTGTTTAATTGATTTTTGATTAAAGGGGATACCAAAATAGGCACATACTAATCTTGCTTTGACGGTCGAGTGGGTGTCAGCAAGCTGGTGTTCTGCTCCCTGTCATTTATCACTGTCAAGTTCTGGTTAAAAAAAATCAGCAGAATTGTAGGATTTTAATACCTACAGGCAGGTGCTTGAGCTACCGCTCTGCAGCCGATCTGGGGTAACAGCCCCTGTGCTGGTGTGCTCCAAGACTGCCAGGCCACTGCTGTTAGCTCAAACCACCCCACACCCTGGGCATTCCTCTTAATGGCTTGCAGTGTTCATCTTGAGTCTTTAACTTATTGCAGAACATCACTGCACTTCTAGGGACTTCTCAAACACAGTTGTTTTCATGCAAAAGCCTGTTGCCACCAGAAAAAAAAAATACAAAACCAAAACCAGACAAAGCCTAACTCATCACACATGTATTCCCAGCTAACAAGCCAGAAGTGTCTTACTACACAGGAGCTACCTGCTCTGTTACCTGGGACAAAGACACATGTTTGCCAAGGTCTTCAGGAAACCAGTGAGGAGAGAGAGGCATTTAATCAGTTCAAACCATTGGAAGGGTTAGAACAGACCCACTTCTGTCCAAGCAGCACAGCCCCTATTTAACTACACAGAGCTTCAGTGAGAGAGTGCACTGAGATACTGCTCTGGAGAGACAGCTGAGGACACGTAGAAGGAGGCTAATCTTTCTCACCTGGGCATTAATCCTGCAGAGATTGTCCCTGGGACAGTTGTCCCCAAGCCACAGCAATGTGCAGCAGCTCCCAGGGATGAATAACTAGAGCTGGGCAGATAAAATCCCTCAGCTTGGGTGGTGTGTCTTGGGAGGAGATGGGTGATCTCTCAGACCTGTCTTATTTCTCCTGCCCTAGCCTGGTTGAGTAGGCAGGGCAGATGTTATCACGCCTTGGCAGGGCAGAGCTGTACCCGTGGGGTGCAGTGCAGGCTGGCTGCTGCTCGGCATCGCCTGCCAACCCGCGGGCAGCCCTGACTGCCAGAGAGGAGCAAACCAAATAACAAAACCAGTGTGCAACCCAAAAATAGCTGCTGTTTCTGACTGTGCTAATGCCTGGTGCCACCTTATGCTTGGGACGCTTTTTTGCAGCTTAATCATAGTTTCAGTGATGCCCTTTATCTAAGGATCTTGCTTTTCTGATAAAAAGCGTGCCTTTCAGATGAGAAAAATTGGTTATGTTGTCTTTAAAAGGCACTAAAACTGCTACGGAAAATACCTGTAATTCCTGAGAAAACCTCCTATCACCCACATCTTGCTTTTTGCTTATTTTGAGGGTTGCTGGCTTGCGCAGACGTGGTGCGTGCGCGGCTGGGAGGCATGACTCCGTCTCCCATCACCAGGCGTCACTGTGGCACTGTCTGTGCCTTCACACAGAGCAGAGGGGGTGGTCCTGCTGAGACGGGACGCACGGCCTGCCCCCCACTTCGTGGACATGAACACGGTGCTCCTCCTGGGAGAAGCCACCCGTGCGGGCACAAACCCATCTGTGTGTTGGGGCAGCCGTCCACACGCCCATCTCCGTCTCTCCAAATGCCACTTCCTCACAAACCTCCTGTCTACTATTGTCGTGGTTTAGGCCTGATTGACAGCCAACCACAATGCAGCACCTCTCTCTCCCTTCCCCCTGGCAATGAGAAGGGACAGAGAGCCAGGCTTGGGGTTCAAGATAGGACTGGGATGGGGAAAAAATCCCCTTTTATGATCACGAGCAAAAGGCAGACTCATTAGGGGAAGAAAAAAAGAACATACGTTTATTACAGACACTAACAACACATAACAGAGTAGGACAGTGAGAAGCATTGCCACATCTTGAGAACATCTTCCCCCCACCCCTCCCTTCTTCCCGGGCTCAGCTCTGCTCCCGATATCTCTACCTCCTCCCCCAGTGGCGCAGGGGCAGGGAATGGGGGGTGCAGTCAGCGCTGCCACTTTCTTCATCTTCAGTGAGGGGAGTGTCCAAAACTTGTTCCTCCTGCTCCATCGTGGTCCCCCTCTCACAGCAGACAGTCCTCCACAAACTTTCTCCAACATGAGTTCCTCCCACGGGCCGCAGCGTTCCCCACACTGCTCCGTCATGGGTCACTAACTTTCTCCGACTGGATTCCCTCCCACGGCTGCAGCCCTTCCCGAGCTGCTCTGGCGTGGGACTCCCCCGCATGCTGCAATCCTCCCAGTGCTGAATTACAGCAGCGGGGCTGCCTTTTCCCATGAGACCCCGGCCTTCTTTGGGCACAGCACCTTGATTATCCGAGCAGGAACAACAGGCCACAAATCAATGTCTGCTCCACCGTAGATCTCCATGGGTGGCAGGGTGGGCCGCCCTGCCATCTCCCCACAGGATACAGGGGGGTCTCTGCTCCGGCACACCTCCCCCCCCCTTTCTTCCTCCGTTCCTCCACTGACCTTGGTGTCCATGCAGCTGCAGCAACTCCTTCTCACAAGTCCGACTGCCCGTCACTACGTCCCTTCTTAAATACGTTATCACAGAGGCGCAGCCGATTGGCTCAATTTCCCAAACAGAAGTGGAGCTGGCTTGGAGCTGGGGGAGCTTCGAGAAGCTTCTCACAGGGGGCCGCCCCAATAGACCCCTCCCCTGCCACCAAAAAACTCCACCACTCACTCAACCCAGGACAACTATCCAGGATGGGACATGTCACTCTTGCCCTGCAGCCCCCAAACAGCTTTTCAGTCAAGGAGATCTCCTGTCCCTGCTCAACCACCCTTCCTCAACTTGCAAACAAGCCCATTTGGATTCAAAGGGGACAACATGTCCTGCTGTCCTCCCTCATTCGCCATCAGAGCCCTTGCCGCACAGTACCTCTTCATCTCTTCTCCCTCACCAGGTCATCACACCATCATTGTCTTCACACTCCTGAAAGGCATCCAGGTCCTACTGCCGCAGTCCCATAAGAAAATGGAGCCACTGAAGGAGCAAAAAGGTGATCCCATGCTGAAATGAGCATTCCTGCTCTCCAGGGGAGCTCCGACTGCTGGGGCGGGAGCTGGGCTTTAGGGCTCCTTGCATCGGTCCATGATAGGAAGTTTGTGCATATTATTTTTCTCAGATTCAGATAAAAGTAATGAGAAAATGCTCTCATTTGAGAAGTCTGCCTCCTCTCCTGCAGAGCAGGTAGGCGGTCGCAGAGGCAGTCTACCTGACCCAAACCACACCAGCACAAGCACCTGGAGCAGCAGAGGTAAGACTCCCATTAAAACCCAAAGGCCAGCTGGGTGGGTCTGTGCAGGATTCTGGTCACCCCCACCATCTCCAGTAACACACACAGGAAATCCCCAGCTGCTGCACCTCTCCATGCCCTGAACACCACCCCAGGAGCACACAGCTGCGTTGTATGTCCCCAATCACCCATACCCTGCCTCCATCAGCAGCAGCCACTGATGCAACATCTCTCCTTTCCCTGCAGGTACCGAGGGAAGGACAGACCTCCCAACACATCACCCAACACAGAGCAGGACAGGGGCGTGCTCCAAGGAAGCCGAGCAGTCCAGACACACTGCATAGTTTACACTTAATCAGCCGTAAGACCTAAAAATAAAGGAACTCTCAGCTTCCTCCAGCTTGTCAGGTAACATAGCACAGCAGCTTGCACTTCTGCTACTATTGCGGGGACATGCCACAACATGTGTTTCTATCTAAGGAGATACCTTTGTCAACACAACAGTCTCCTTCCTCACACGTATCTGTAGGAGACTCCATTGCCCATAGCTGGGGCCCAGTAAGTGTAAATAAAACACACTGGGTACACAACACACTACCACCTTCGAGGTCTTTCCCAAGAAACTTGGAAGGTACTCAAAGCCAGAAAGCAGTCACAGTAAATGCTTTGCCTGAGGAAGGGGCTCCTCAAAGACCACCCAAGCCTAGAAGCTGCTCTAACTCTACCACAAAGGGAGCCACACTTCTCACCAAGATCTGGGATTGCTTTCCTCTGCTCAGCATAGTTTACAACCTTATCTCAGCCTCTATCAATTTCCCACACAAATTAAAAACCTCCTACGGGTGGCAAGGCTGAGACCCCACCTGGTTTACTACTCAGCTGTCCCTGGATGGTGAGATGATGACTGTCTTTCCAGAGCCTCCCTCATTTTCCAATCAAAAGCAGCTAAAAAGGGGCCTCAGCGTGTTTTTTTTTTTAAAAAAAGCCAGTATGTTTACAAAGCACTAACCAAATCATATCATCACAAGACTTTAATTTTCCCCAGGTGAAACTGGGTCAGAGTGGCTTTGCCAACACACCAGGAAGCTGCAGAAATCCCAAGCGTTCTTTGGACCTCATGAAGAAAAGACCATGACCTTTGTCACACCTTGCCTCTGACAGCTCCCTCACAAGCTCTCAGCTTTGTAATTTTGAGCTATTTTTAGCTATTTTTTAACCCTCAGATCCTAGAAGACCACATCCTGGGAATAAGGTGCATTTAAGGCAGATGATGGTATGTTTCATATTTGTCACTTATAATTATCAACACTTTGCTTCTAGAGGATAAAAAAAAAAAAAACAAAACAAACAAAGCCAAAGTGCAAGAACATTTCTACAAATAAAGGACTTAGGAAGATGATGCCACTCCTACAACCTGAACTGTTACAGGCTCCTCAGAATTGCTCTCATGCTCTAACTTGATTTTGTCCCAAAAGCCTTCAGCCTCAAGAGCTAGCTGCATTTTGGTGTGCTTTTCACTAACACTTCAGGGTCTGTAGTCTAAGCCTAGCTGAGCCCGGTCTCTAGAAGGCTTCATGGATGTCCCTGAGGCTCACAACAGCAAAATCACAGCTAAGATCAATCTTCACTGTTTGTATGCGAGTGACAGGGTGGGGAGCAACCGATCCCATCACATTGGATTGAGCCAGCAGCTCCTGGGGTCACCCAGCAGGAGCAAGGGAAGAAGGCAGAGGCACAGCAAACACACACTGTAGAGGCATGACAGCGGGGCAATGAAGCGTGTAGGGCCAAAGCAGCATGCCCTTGGACACCACGCATGGTCTGCAAGCCCGCCTTTAAGAGACAAAGGCAGGCAGCACCTCCCAGATGGGCACTGGGAGCCATCAGCACATCAAGCAGCACCAACTCTGGCAGCTGGCTCTGCCCCTGGCTCCCCAGGACACCGCTATCCCCAGGCGGTGACATCAGGCACTGCCATACCACCCAGTTGTGATACTGTCCGGCTGTCCTTGCCACCAGTTTTCCATCCTGCCTGGCCTCTTGCTGAGCACTCGCCCATCCTTCCCGACCCTGCGAGGAGGAGAGGCAGCCTGGGGTTTTCCCCAGCACTGGTCCCAGTCCTGCATCCTCCCCTCTTCCCGTGGCCTGACGCTCTGTGAGCAATAAGCTTTGCAGATTCTGTGCATAGATCAAGTTTCTCCTCTAACGCCAGCCTGCCAGCACCTCTGGCTTCTCAGAAAGCGGGACATGGCCCTGCAGACCACACGAGCCTTCCCTGGAAACTCTTCCCAGCAGCCTGATTGCACCAGAGAAACAAGCCACAGCCTCCATGGGTTTAATCAGTGCTCTGGTTTGGACAACCTTGGGTGCTCTCTGATTTCAGGAAGGCCTTTCCACAGTCTTTTAAGGCTGCCAAGTCACCTTTAGCGAAACAGCAGAGTGATGCAAGAAGACACAACGGTCAAAGCAAGCCAGAAACGTGGTGGTTTATAAGTGGCTGAAGGACCCCAGCCCATGGCCTCACTTCTCCTTCTGGAGGAGCAGAAATGTGCTTCTGCAGCATGGAGCCACCGTGCTCCCCATAGCACCCCTGCTCCCCACGCCACCAAGACCTAGACACACATCTATGGGTGTCCTCCTGTTTCCTGGGCATGAGAAAGACACAACGAGCAAGAAAAAAATGAGCAGGGAAGAAAGGAAAAAGTAAAAATATTGACGTGAGAGTGGTAGACATACTCCTGGTTGCATTTTCTCACCAACAGTTGCATAGTCAAGCTTTCTTGTTGTTACCTTTATGTATTTTTAAAGGTTCCCAAGACCATCAGAAGGACCACTGATGCAGGCTCTCAGATGGACCTCACGAGCCATGAGCACAGTCTGCAGGAAAACTCATGCACAGCAATGCCTGTTGGTTTGCAGGTACATATATCTATAAGCACACACAGCTAAACATATATGCAGGGCTCATTGATGCATTCTGGCAGCCACCTGTTTCATAGAATCATAGAATACCAGGTTGGAATTCACCTCAAGGATCACCTGGTCCAACCTTCCATTTGTAGAGGAGATGGGTCAAACACATCGACTCCCAGAGTTTTACGTGTACACAGAAACACACATGCAAGCATTGATGCTAGTCTTTGCACCTCAACTCATCCATGAAATCCTCACCCTCAGTCCACAAAAACAATGTAAAAACGCCCACCATCCAGCCCATTATTTCATAAGAGACAGCTTGCTTCCAAGGACAAGAAGCCTTCAGGACTTCCCAATGTCTTTTCCCGTCAGATACCCATATGGGCCAGAAGCAATTAATCTGAACAGTGACAAAACCATTCATCACCTTACCTAAACAACCAAGAGCCACCTCCACAGCAAGGCCAAAATTCCCAGCTTTTGGGGCATTTTATAGTGCTGCACACTATCTCCTTCAGTGCAGAGGGGATGAAGGAATGTTGTTAACAAATGAATGTAGAGTCGGTTTTCCAAGCAAGTTTATTCCAAGTTTGGTTCTCCATAGGCTAATTGAAAGAGTAATGATCTCAGTTTAAAAAAAATTAAAAATCATTTCAACAGCTGCAAAATATTTTCATAAGCAACATATAATCATGGTGCAAATCAGAGCATCAGCCGAGAAACAAGCAAGCCCTTAGACAATCAGACACACGTTGCATGCCGTAGGATTTCAGAAATGGGTTTGTGCCACCCGGCCTGCCATATCAAAGCTCTGAGCTGGCTGAATGCTACAGCTGTACGGGCACCAGCTTGGTGCAAGGGAGCCAAGCCTGGCAGGAGGACAGCGAAACACCAACAGTGGCACCGTTTTGGAGACGTGCTTAGCCCTGCCCTGCAGACACAGCTTGCCACTGCAGGGCTTGTCCTTTCCAGGAAGAACTGGTCCCTGCTGTCCCTCTGATGTCAGTGACCTTTTTCAGGTGAGTCAGGACTACTCAGAGTTTTGTGGGATTGGGCTCCTGACGTCCGTTCCTTGTGGAAACATCTCCTGCGTCCCCCAAAAGAAGTCCTTCAGGTCCCAGCAGGCTGGCCTGAGTGTGCCTCTACCAGATCAGAGGGATAACAGGCCAAGGGCAACTCTGCAGCCAGACCATTGCCTAGCCATCTCACTTTCTGGATGCTGTATTTCAAAAAGACTGAAAAGAGAAAATCCTTGTCTTTCTAGGGGTAGATGAGCAGCTCATCAGTGCAAGCTGTAGGAAATACTTGCCCTAGCAAGGAATTTAAACTCCTTTTCCTTTATCAGAGAGTCCCACGTTGTCTGGCAATGCCTCAAGCTCTTCTCCTGCCTCCCAGATGCGTTGGGTTTATGGGGGGCTGTCACACATCTCCCTGCTCTCCATGAGGATCAGGGCCTTGATCTCCAGCTCACAGAGGCAGGTAAACTCAGAGGGACAGAGGTAGTCAAGGGGAACCTGGGCTAGCAAGCACTCAACTTGGTTCCTCTCCAAAGCCCACGGTTGTTACACCAAACACTTCTGAAGCATCTTTAATTTCTTAGGCTAAGTCAGTCCTCCATGCTCTGTCCCTGCACATGCTCTCTCCCATCTCCTTACCCACTTTCTTCAACTCTTTTGCAGAAGCAATAGCAAATAAAAGGAGGCAGTGATGGTGGGATCAGATGATGGGACAGGAGGCAATGGCATCCTACAGGGAAAGGTCCTGAATGTCTGCAAAATGACTGTATTTGGGATTCTGACGTAAACTGTTGTAGACGTAAATGGTAAGTGCTGGAAAAAGATTCAAGAAATACTCAGTATAGTCTCCTATTTTCTTGCTGATACTGAAACAGAACAAAAACAAAATAGATTTTTAGAGCTTGTCCAAGGAACCAAGTGCTCAGGGTGCCCTGGTTCCTTCCTTGCAGATAAAAAGCCATTCCAGAGGCTTTCTGATAACATAGGGAGGTTTCCTAGAAATCCTTGAGCTGCAACTTTTCTATACCTTCCCTTAAATCCTCAATCCATTTTTTTCACTATTCATCCAGCACCTCCATCTGCCTAATCCCACCTGCACCTTCACTGAAGAGCAGTGCTGGCCACCAGCGTCAGTGAAACCATCACTAGGACTTAACACCGCCTCTAACCTCACATGTAGGCGCCCATGACCGCAGAGGGTTGGAGATGCTGGCAACTCTTAGGAGTCAAGACCTCCTAACAGGATCTTCTAACAGACCTGGCCGATGCTTCCTGATCCATAACTCAAGCACCAGCCTGCAGCAAAAACAACAGCCCAGAAGGACACGTTCATGGTGTCCTCTGCTGTAGAGCCGGGACCTGCCGTAGCTGTCGCAGACACCTCTCCACCCCACAGGCTGCTCTGAAAAGGAAAAGGTGCGGAGGGAGCTGACCAGGGAGTCCGGTTTTGCTTCAAAATCTGGTACCTAATCCTCTGAGCTAACTTCCTTTTCCCGCCCTCAGGAAGGTGATTTTGAGGGCTGACTCCACACTGCTTGCTACCGTGACACACAATCTTTCAGACAGTATTGCACTGCCAGAGGAGATAGCCCCTCTAATGAGATAGCTTTAATGGACTTTCTCCCACATCTCGGTTGTGTTCACCCTTCTGGAAACCCATCTGAAGAAGATTTTGCTCTCAAATTCACTGATACTTGCAGATAGTCAGATGCTCCCTGCAATGCAACTGTGGCAGGGCAAGGATGTGAACAGGTACCTGCTCTTTGGGTGTTCATCCAGGTTTCTGATGAGCCTCAGTAGGTCAGTGATGTCATTGCTATATGGTTTCGCTTTACTAAATCTTTGCATAACATCCAGAACCATTTTGTCAATCTGAAAAATAAGCGCATAGATTATTCTCTGCTTTTCACACGCTATGAAAGTAGCACATCTACCTCTGCTCACCACAGCCGCTGCCTTTCCGTGCGCATATCACCTCACATGGATAAATCTTGTGACCCTTAAAAGCATATTTCCCAACACAAGCAGAAAGTTCACTCTGCTGGGCATGCACCATCCAGACCCCCTGATTCTGATAAGTGTTTCCTCTCCTGCCTTGCCAAGGTGTGGCATTTATATTAGGACTGTCAACATGGTGCAGGAGATTTTCATGCATGCCTGGAGGACAGGAGGGACTTGGGGAATCTTGATCCAACTGTGCCACTGTTGAGAGGACCGCATGGGCTGCTATACTGAAACCAGACTGTCAGATGTCAAGCAATGCAGTACACCTTTCCAGGATGCCACCTGCAAAAGCAGGCCTGGTCTCACTGCTTTTGAGCCAATCTAACAAAACACTTTTGCCAGAAATTTGCTGGCATCAAGGGCCAAAGCTCCTTGCCTTAAGGCGTCACCAACAAACACCCTTGAAGGTTTGCCAGGTAATTCTGTAAGGATCATCCCCTACTGCCACCCCAGTCAACAGAGCTCCCTTTAGTCTTTAGTCTGGTGTATTTTGACTATGCAGCTTAGATTTGTTTCCCCCAGTTATCTATATTTGCATGGGGCTACTTTTTCCAGTTATGATTTTAAACAGGGCCTGTGAAACAGCCAGGAAAAGCTTCTGCCTAAATGTCTAGCTCAAACCTCGTATCAATCCAAAGAGAAGAGGATTACCATCTTGGTCCACCATGGATAAGGAGAACTTTCAGTAGCATTAGGATCTTGAAAGACAGCTTTTTCATCACGGAAAACTTTGATTTTATTCCATATACTCTTCAGGAACTTGAACCTGCTGTGGAACGAGGACTTTGTTAGCTGCAACAGGACATCACTGTTCCCAGCACTACAGGCAAATCCTGTACTGAAAGCTTTTCCTTTGTACTCTCAGGACTTACGTCTGTTTGCTCCAAAAATACGGGTGTTTGCTCAAACCTTCCAAGCCTCGTTCATCATGAGAGACCAGGCTCCTTACAAGGTCCAGAGCCTCGTTGTAATCTGGGGAATCAACAGCCAAATCCTCGACACTGACTTGCTGAAGGGGTTTCTTACCTTGTGCTAAAACATACAGCATGAGCCTGCTGAGGGCCTGCAAAGAAACACATCACTGCTCACATGCTAGATGCATGAAACTTTTTACCAAAAGGAAGAGGACTAGTATTCCTAAATGAGCAGACTGCATATGCAGACACACACATGCACCTACAGGTGTGCAGAAGTACAAAAATACACACAAACACCAACTTTGAAGCTGTGTGCACGAGGACAGAGAAGACCAACACCATAATCATGCTCGCAGGGTATCTGTGGATATCCCAGCACCAGCCACAGCCTTGCATCCTAATCACTACCATTTTTATGCAGCTTCTATAGTTATATGGGCCTTCCCCAAAACCAGGGTGTTTTCTAGTTGAGGATGCAGAAAGGCTTCCTGTAGGATTCACAGCAACAGAAAATATCAGAAAGTGCCTGAAATCTTTAAACCATATGTTGATTTGCAGGGAAGTTACCTCTAAATCTGAGTTTATGAGTTGTTTTTCACCTTCAATCAACTTCCTTTTATTATCAAAGTCCGCGAAGTAAATTTTGCCACCTAAATCTGAGGAAATAAGAGAAATTGTTAACAAATAATGGTGGAAAACCTTGATACAATCTGTCACTGACTTCTGGATGACTCCTTCTTTAGAAAACAAATCTCTGAAGAGATCTGCTGTGGGTCGCTCTGTCTGCAAAGCCCTGGAAAAGAGGGCAGATCTAATGAGACATGTAAAGTTGTTCTGTTCGCTCCCCTATGGCTGTCTGCAAATGTATCTATACATATTCAAAGAGGAGAGCTAATGCCACAGGCATCTCATTCTGCATAAAGACATCTGTACTGGTCTTTCATATCTGTTGTTGTTACAGACAGCTATGAAGCAACTCCTTCTCTAAACTACAGGCAACAGGAAAGCAAAATGAAAACATTGGGAAAGCAAAAGATGACCTATGACAAAGTTGCTGGGATGCAGATCCTGATAAGCAAATCCGAGGGAGTGCAGCTCTCTCACTGCCTGGAATATCATCCTCAGAGCATCTTTGTAATCCATTTGGTCTTCCAGATCCTGCAGGTGTTCTTCAAGGTTTTTCTCCCAGAGCGGGAAGCACAAGTACGTGTAGCCTCTTGCCTTCTCAAACTGAAAGAGCTTCAGTAGATGTTCACAGTTGCCACACTGTTCAAAGAACCTTTTCTCTTCATCACACTCTGTACTGCAGGTTATTCTTACTGCTACCTCTGTCCCACCGTAGAGCCCCAGGTAGATGCCACCCTGGGAAGTGTTCCGAATTCTCTGCTCGATGTACTGAAATATCTTCAATTTGCCAATCATAGGGCGATATATTTTATAAAGATTTTTCAGCTGGTCCCTCCAGCATTTGCTGTTTGGCTCCCAGTCTTCAAGGATTTCTGGAACAAACTTGGCATTATACTGGCGAAGAAGACATGCCATGTTATGAGCACGTTTCCTATTTGCAACAGCGATAAGTTTCCCAACATCAGTCCTCGCTCCTTTTTCACACAACAACTTTGCTATATTGTAATTGTTTTTCTCTACAGCCACCATCAGTGCTGTGTTGCCGTCCTCATCTGCATCATCAATATCTATTTCACCCTTCTCCAATAACGCTTTCACCAAATCTGCGCTTTGCATTTCAACAGCTAGGATGAGGGCAGTTTTCCCACATTCATCTTTGCTCTTCACATCAACACCACAGTCCAGCAGGAAATGGGCGATGGCGACAGCTGACTCATACCTTTCCTTCTCACAGCCCTTCTTGAGGGCATGGATCAAGGCATTCCTATCTCGGTTGTCACAAGTGTTCACCTCAGCCCCCATCTCTTGGACAAGAGTTTTTACAACCGAGAGGTGGCCCTCCCTACAAGCATCCATCAGTGCTGTCGCACCTCCTTTATGGAGTTTTGCTTTCTCCTCACTAGCTGTCCTCTTCAAATTCACATTTGCTCCTTTGCTATACAGGAATTTTAAGGCTTCCTCCTTCCCATACCATGCAGCCTCCATGAAAGCTGTGAAGCCGTTGTCGTCATGGTCATTAATATTTAATCCACGGTTAAGGAGAAGCTCCAGTATATTCACGTTTCCCACTATCGCTGCTTCAGTAAATGCAGTGCCACCATTGTCCTTCCTGGCATGTGGACAGGCACCCTTGTCCAGCAGAAGTTGGACCAGGTCCTCATCATCAGCTTGCACAGCACTCTGCAACGGCGTCCAGCCAGCTTCTGCTTTGGAGTTCACATCTGCCCCTCTCTCCAGCAGCTCCAGCACACTTTTTCTATTTCTGTCCCTCACAGCAACATTTAACTTGTAGGCAAGGTCTTCTGCTGTCTCCGTGCTGGAAGGGGTAGATGCTTCCTGCTGGCTGTGAGCTGTGGGCTTCATGGTGGTCAGAGGGAGGGCTCTGCACCGCTGATGTTCCCCACCCGAGCCCAGGGATCCCACCAGACTATGGGAGAGGTGCAATGCTCAGTGCCTTCGTTGTGGGGGATGCTCTGAGTTTGGCTGAGAAAACACGCTAGGCTGCTATTTGAAGGGCTTCATGGTCTTCACCTAATAAACAGAAAATCTTGTTTTATTGGACTGTGAAACCTTGCCATTTACATGTGATGTCCTGCAGGTCTATGTGAGGGGCAACTAAGGACAGCAATGCCAGTGCCAGACAAGAGAGATAACATGACTTTAGCATGTACCCAGACATACGTACCCCTCATGTTTGCCCGCGTGGGCTCAGCACTAATCGCAGCCCAGGCAGGCATCCCCTGGGGTGTCTGGGAGAGGGGATGGGGGAGAACCCAGGGTGTTCTTGCTATAAATGTTATCTCAGACTTATTCCAGTTTACCTAATAATCTGGCCCGCTGCGACGTTTTCAAGTGAAGAACACAGCAGGCAGGCAGAGATGGCCATTCCCCTTCAGTTTTGTATGGCAGCCACACACACAGTCCTGGAAAGTCCCTGAGCCGATACCTGGAATGAGACAGAAAGCCAACCTTAATCCTTCCTGCTTCCCTAGGCAATTAGGAGACCCTACCTGACCAGAAGCCTTTCCTAAGCTTTTCACAACGTTAAGGGGTTAATCAGGTAGGACTTGATCTATCTATATCTATTGAGTTTCTAGAAAAGCTGGAACTCCAGTGCCCATTTTCCCGATTCAAGTGACCAGTGCTTTCAGGAGTCACTGTCTGACAAGCTGAACTGGAAATAAATTATCTAAGCAAATCAAGAAAGGGACAGAGAAGTCTTAAGGTATAAAGCCAAATTATAAATTCACATAAATTTACCCTCAGGAAAGCCAAGGACCATTTTATGGATGGTTTCTCCCCCTGCCCACCAGGAAATGAATACCCTATTTCATTGATTCAGGTTAATTTCATTTCCTTGCAGTAATTTGCATGCCCCTCTCCACATATAAACAAAATAAAATGTTACTTTCCTGTCTGGAAAAGCAGCACAGCATCCCCTGGGCATGGTGGGGCCCAAATTCCTCGCCCGGTCGGGAAGGCAGAAGCCTGGGGAGGGAGGAAGGCAGAGGCTGCATAACTTCCTCCTCCGCCTGCCGAGCAGCAAAGCCACAAGCACCCTACTCTAGGAAATGTTTAGCCTTGCTTGTTCCAGCCCACTGGCCTTTGCCCAGGAACTGCTTCACGTCTGCGTATCACAGGCGCCAGCTGACACGCAAAGTCATGCAACCTTCCTGCTACCCACCACAGGAAGGCGAGGAAGGGGGTCCCTCTGCCCCGCCAGAAACCCGGCTTCAAACACCCAAAAGCCAGGGAGCAGCTTTTCTCAGCAGCTGCTCTTCACTGCTGCTTCCCAGCAAGCATCCCCAGACACTATTCGCTTCCCAGCAAAGTCTGCTAGTATATGCTCTCCCCTCCCAGGAAGTAGCAGCCCTGCGAGCGTTTTATCCACTTTCAGGGGGATGCTGGGGTTTTTACTGACGTTTTTTTCAGCACACAGCAGAGAGGTCATAAGCAAAGTGCTCTCCCCATGCAGCCCCACACACATAGACCCTGTTTACAAACACGCGCTCAGAACTGGTTCAGGAGCATAGAGACATTAAATGCACTGGTGCTGGGCTTTGGAGGGGGGCCGGGGAGGGGGCAGCCAGGGTTTTGTTGTTTTCTTCATTTTAAACTTTTCCTTACCTTTTGGTAAATCCATCCACATGAGGAAACTAGCCACGCTGCTGAATTCCACTCAGGGCGCTGCAAAGCTCCTGGTCTCTTTATGCCACAGCCGGCGTGTTTCCAACCCCACTCACGCTGGCAAGCAGGCAGCTCTGCGTAACCACGCTGCTGCCCAAGGGAGCCCAGTCCTCCAGCCTTTCCCATCTGCCTGCAAAGCACGTGCAGGAATTATGTGAAGAAACCCAGGCTGTGACGTGCCACCCAGTTTCCCCAACTGCCCTGTAACAGAAGGCAAGCTCACCAGCGTGCAGAGCCCATGCAACTTCCCCAGCCACCTCCAGGATCCAGATCCCATCTTGAAACAGAGATGAAATCACAGCAATGAATTCCCACTTGGCTTTCTACAGCACGTTAGTATGTGTACAAACTGGGCATCCGCATATGTACACAGAGATATGGCTGGATACAAACCCAAGGGCACGAATGCAGAAAAGCACACCCTAAAGGGGTGCATGAATGCAGTCCTGCACATGTTTTTCATGACTATCCAATTCCTTATGTATGCCTGCGTTCCTTGCTCACACCTGCATGCCAACTTTTACAAAAGCTCTGCCTATGCAGGAGTCCCATCTTTGTGCCTAGCCCTCATATTAAGCACCCTGCTTTTCACAGCGTGCAGAGCATCCACGAAGGTCTGGGAACATCCCACAGGCTCTGGGTGCAGTTTCACAGAGTTTATGTTGCCACAGGAGACTTTGACACAGCCCAACAGGGACAAAGACTGTGAAAACTCAGGGAACAATCTCAACTCACTCTCAAGGCTGTCAAGATCCCCTTTTAATTCACAGAAATCTGCTGAACTCAGCACCTCTCCTGGTTTGACCAGAGCTGGGGCACTAGTTGCCAGTTTTTAACTCCCATTTGCAGGTTGGAAAAGAGACAAACAAGCAGAGCAGGGGCACATCACAGGCTCAGAGCCAACAATAAAGGCATCCAAAAAAAGTCAGCCTTATAATACATAACAATACCATGTCACCCAGCTACCTGAGTACAAAAGCCTTCTTCAGCTTGCTGATTTAATTAAAATAGTTCATTATCTTATAGTGGGAAGATGAAAAACCCGAGGATGGTAGGAACCCAAACCCTAGGTTGCTAGGAATGAGGTGTTTGCACCCGGCAGGGCTGTGGCAGAGGTGTGCTGTGATGTTACCCCAGCAAAGGAGGGTTTGCTGCTAAGGCTTTCCCTATCTCTCCTCCCTGATCCAAATTACTTTCCATAAAATATAAACTTTAAACTCTTAGGCCCTGTGGCAGGCAGTTTAAGGGGAATAGAAGGACCTCAAAGGTTTTCTAAAGCATGGGAGTTGCAGAGCTCCTCTCCACAGCCGTTCCTGTAGCTTCTGGGCTATGTAGTTCCTGCTGTATTTGCACTTCTGCAGAGTCCTTATTTGCTCCCCCCACCTCCTCACCCCCAGGGACTCAGGAGATAAGCTGCCGAGACACAGTCAACAGGGAAACCAAGGACACCATTAAGCAAATCTTCCTTTTCCTCCATGCTGATGGACCTACACCCATTTTTCAACCCATCCCCTGAGATAACATCTCCAGGCAGCCATACCCTGGCCACCAGCCACAAATAAACATGAGGTAAAACAGAGCAACAAAAACTGCCTGCCAATATCAAAATAATTTTTAAAGAAGCTATGAATAGTAGGATGTCTTTTTTCTTCATGTTCCCTGCAATTGCCTCCTTATTATATTTCCAAATGGGAATGTCCCAGGGTTTATATGCTTGGCCACACTGATGAGACTTTCAATGCTGGAACACAGCCCTGGAAAATAGTTCACAGAAGGATGCAATTTAAACACTGACAGGTGATGCTGTCCATGCAGGAGCATCAACCACATTGCACTTCACCATGCAGTATTTTTACATTTTTAATCTGCATTTGCTAGTTTTTTGAATGCTGCTCAATCTTCATCAAAAAAAAACCAAAACAAAACAAAACAAAAACACATACACAAAAAAACCCAAACAAAACAAAACACCAAAACCCAGCACATCTGCAGGCATCTCACCGAGCAGGGCACCGTGTCCCAGTCCCTGGACAAGGAGAGTAGAACAGGTCCACCAAAAACTTCCCAGATCAGCCAAAACAGGTCAAATGAGGAGCCAGGCCAATTTAAGCCTGGGCTTAAATGCATTTTCCTGAGCAGCAGGGACTGTTCCCCAGCAGCATTTCTCCCAGCTGTCTCCCTGAGCCCAGGTTGCATCCCCACTGGGTTAGACCTGCCCTCCATCATGGGCAGCCCAACCCAGAGGTGATGGAAGGGCTGCAGAGCCCAGCACTGCCCTCAGTGTCAGAAAGCATCAATATTATCATTAATTTTTTATCGTTTCCCAAGGCACCCTGGAGGTGAGAATCCCTGCACGCAGCTGGACCGGGTTGGCAACCTTGGCATTTAGCTGCACGCCTAGTGAGAGGGACGTGAGCCATATGCAAACACATCACGTCTGATTTCTGGGGCTTTATTCAGGCCAAGGACATGAAGGTGAAAGCCACGGAGCAGTAAGCAGTTCGATACAGCTGCTCCCTCCCCGTCGGCTGGCAGAGCACTGCAAAACACTGGGTGAGGTGTTTGAAGTATTTGAAATGGCTCAGTGCACCCACTTTGCTGGTGAGCTTCCTTCAAAAACATATTTAAACAACATTTTATAGCATTTATTTGCAGACTGTCTTTAAAAAAAAATAATAATCATGGATGTGCACACATGCACATGCAAATACATATGAATTTGCCTGCACATGTGTGTTGTTATGCATGTGCATCCGTTGCAGTGCAAGCATGCCGAAAGCTCAGCATCCATACACCTATATATAGCATCCATACACCTATACATGCACATCAACCTGCCTACACACATGCCTTCGTGGGGCTACTCATGCGCATACGTAGGCGCCCTAAGGCTACCCCGAAAGGCTACTTGGTCCTGCCAGAGTGGGGAGCTCCAGCTGCAGGAGGAGACGGGACAGCTGAGTGACGATGCCACCCCACCAAGCCACTGCTGGGATCACTGGGTCCCAGAGCAGAGAGAAAAGGGTGGGTTTTTTCCACCAAATAAATCCACACCCCCCATCCCAGCTCATGGAAACCTGGCCCTGGAGCAAGTATGTGTCACGCCTTGGGGGGGGGCGGGGGGGGGGGGGCAGCTCCAGCTCCCACATTTGCTCCCCAGAGCTCAGATCATCTCTGCTGCTTCCAAATTTGCAGCCTCCACCCTGGGAAACTTCAGTCGTGGTTTACTGGAAGCAACCGCAGCAGGCCGTGCCCAAAGGCGGTAGCGGGAAGCTTCGGCTCCTCTTTCTCAACGCGGTTTTGTGGGTTGGGTTTTTTTCATCCCCCCAAGGCTTTAAAGGTTTTGTTATATTACCACTGGGTTTTGCCAGCAATCGTGGAGGACACGCTGGATCAAGCATGGTTTTATTGACCGAGTTTTCTCTTTGGGAAGCATCTCAGGCTTGTAGAGATGAAACTACACTGCAAGTGGGATACTCCAGTATCAGCTGTGAGGTCTGAGAGCTACCGCCAAGGCTGAGACTCAGCCTGGGCCATCCATTTCCGTGCATAGTTCATCAAGAATGGATGTAACCCCGAATTTCCTTCTAAAGAAAGCTCAAAAAGATTTCAATTCTAAATTTTTCTTACTTTTTTTGCTGGTAAATTTAAAAGTTTTTTTTAATGGAGGGTCAGTTATAAATTAACTTCAAGATGTGTAACACAAAATATTATTTTTTTTAAGTTAGAAGCTGCAGTTTTTTTAAAAAAAAAAAAAAGAGATTTTGTTTCTAGCTGCTTCTATACTGGTTTGCTGCTCCAAGTCTCTCTTGCCAGATAATTTAAATACTTCCTGGAGATCTTTTAGCTGATTTCTTCCTTCTGTGTACACTAAGATCAGGTATACAAGCAGACTGCTGCCATTCCGAAGTGCCTGTCTTGTAAGACAAGGCCACACAATGAAATAGTGAATAAAAGATAAAAGGAAGTATAAACTGCCTTCCTCCAGGTATGTGGAGGACAACTGTAGGGAGCAGTGATGAAGAAGAGTTGATGCATTTCGCAATGAATGATCCTTGGTGTGTTGGGTTTGAGTGAGTGATGGGGTTTTTGGTAGTGGGGGAGAGGGCTGTGGCAGTGGCCACTGTGAGAAGCTTCTGGAAGCTCCCCAGCTCCAAGTTGGACCCACCTCTGGCCAAGGTTGAGCCAATCAATGACGGTGGCTGCACCTTTGCAAGAACGTATTTAAGAAGGGGAACCTGGGAGGAGGAGTTACGAGAAGGACACCTATGTGAATGTTGACATCAGTGGAAGGAAGGAGAAGGAAGAGGGAGAGGTGCACCAGAGCAGAGACCCCTGTATCCCATGGTAAGATGGCAGAGCCACCCCCCTGCCACCCATGGAGGTCCATGGTAGAGCAGATGCCGACCTACAGCCTGTAGTGGACCCACACCAGGACAGGTGAGTGCACCCGAAGGAGGCCGGGACTCCGAGGGGAGAAGAGGCCCCTCCTGCTGTTGTAATTCAATGTTGGGAGGACTGCGATACATGAGGGGGTGACCCAGGGTGGGGCAGCATGGAAATGGCTGCATCCCATGGGGAGAACTCACATTGGAGAAAGTTCATGGAGGACTGTCTTCCATGAGAGGGGAGCCACATGGAACAGGGGAAGAGTGTGAGGAGTCCTCCCCCTGAGGGAGAAGGAGCAGCAGGACTGACTGCACCCCCCTATTCCCTGCTCCCTGTGCCACTGGGGGGGAGGAGGTAGAGATATTGGGAGCAAAACTGAGCCCAGGAAGGGCTGGGGGAGACATATTTTTAAGATGTGGTAACCCTTCTCACTGTCCTACGCTGTTAAGTATTGCTGTTGTTAGTGTTTGAATTAAACTGATGTTCTTTATTTTCTTCCCCTAACAAGTCTGTCTTTTGCCCATGACTGTAACGAGTGAGCCACCTCTCCCTGTCCTTATCTCAATTCCTGAGCCTTTTGCTTCATTTTCTCCTTCCCATTCATGAGGGGGAAGGGCTGAGCGAGCGGCTACGTGGTGCACAGTTGCCCTCTGGGCTCAAACCGCAACACTTGGACTCTTCATGGCTGTATAAGAGACATAAGACTTTGCTATAGATGCAGTTGCTTGCAAAAGGCTTTTTAATGTCAAAGGCTGGCTTATGCTAATAGTAATACCTCAGAACTTAAATGCTCCTGAGTTACACTCTCCTATGATGCTAACTTCTCCTTGGCAGTTCACTCACACTCTCCTCTGCTGACGAAGGCCAGTTAATTTTGGCTTCCAAAGCACACAATAAATGGAAAGAAGACAACTTAAAAACATGTTTGGTTTGGTTTTTATTTGGAGCATTAGCATCTCTGAGCTACACTTGGATGCTCCCATCCCTGCATGGCTCGTGCCGCAGGGAGCCCTCCAGTGCTCCCACAGTCCCCGGAGGAGCACACAGCACGCACCCCCCCTCTGCCCTCCCAAACCATCCCACAGGGTCACAGGGGACTGCTCAGACCTCCGAGACAGCACATGCTGCGACAGAGGTAGGATGTTTTCTATTAACCCCTCTAACACCAGATATATTCCCTCTTGTAAGTGAACTCAATCCTCAGGTGAGTTATTGATAAAAGTCAAGTATTATTTATGACAGCAACCCAAAAGCAGTTTTTGCAAACAGCAGCCCTTACTTGAATCCTCCCGTGCTTTTAAGACAGTGGGGTCTTACTGATATTAATTAGGCAATGGGAACAGCAGTCCTGTAAAGTTCTCAGAAAATGGCAAGCGACACAAACAGTACTGAACACCCTGGCAATAAATACATTAAAAACTTAACTTCTGCTTTCATTCTTGCTGTGAACTGTTCAGTTCTCTTCAATAAGCTGAATACCATGAAGATTTTCTCTTCGCATGTCTTGCTCTTCCTTTTCTGTTTCTAACACTGCAACTTTTAAAGCAACTATAAATGCCTCTTGAGCCATCCAACACAAGCAGCTTGTTTTAGTATGCTTTGCAAATCATTCAAAATTAGAATATAAAAATTAATTGAAAGCCACAACCAAAAAAACCATGTTGTCACAGTATTTTGCTCTTTACATTTTATTTTATAACGACGGTACTATGTTAGTAATGAAGACTGAGCATTGTGCGTCATTCACTTCAGTAACACAACAAAGGTGGTTCCAGTTGTAAAAATAAATAATAAATAAGAAAGCAGCTAAAATCTCCCTGTAAACACAGCCAGGACCCACCGAGGCTCAGAGGTAGAACCGGGATGGGGAAGGTGGAAGAGGACTCAGAATACTGTCCCCAAACTGGCCCTCGGTCCCTTGCTCTGCTCAAACATCCACAAAAAGCCCGAGTGATCCTGTGCTTCGGCTAGTGCTCGGGAGGGCAAAAGATGGTTCTCTCGGGAAGGAGTGAGTACCAGCGGGATAAGGACCTCAAGGTTTGCTCTTTAGAGATAGAGGCACATGTGGCAGCCCCAGGCTGTCCCAGTAGGAAACGATGCCGGTGGCACGTTCCCCGTGACCCAGCGCAGGACAGCCGTGGGTTCCCCGTCACCCACCCACACAGCTGCTGGCACTGTTGCTGTCAAAAGGGGTCCACAGCTTCCCCAGGGTGGCTGTGGGACTCAGAAATCCCTCCTCAGAGGGCTTTTCTGAAGACCTCACCCCACGGGTCTGAGCAGGTGAGGTGTCCTGCTGCCCCCTCCCCAAGACGCTGAATTCATGGCACACACCCACTGTTTTGTTCGGCTCCCTGGGTTTCTGGTAAAGCGCTGTGGCTGCAGACTGGTTTCACCAGCCAAGGGAACACCAAACCCAATATTAAACCAGTGAAAAGCCCCAGGTCTTCTCTCCCATGTGTAAAAAATAAGTTTTCAACAGGATCACTCACCAAAGTGCCTGTTTTACATCGCTATTCTCTGCCTAGGACACATCTGTGTGCCAAGATGCTGTCCACATCTTTAAGGGGAGAAAGTAAACAGCACAGACTGCAAAGCATCCTTTTACTGCCACCAAAGGTCCTCCGAGCTCACGGGAAATCTGCCGCCTTGGACCCCTCCCACAGTCCTTGCTGGACTGCAGCTCTCGCTACTTCTATTCATTCATGTTACAGATCTGCCTGGTCATCTCTCAAGTTATTATACAGAAAAGGTGAGAAGCATGCTAAGTGCTACAATATCTAAAATAATTCCATTTACAAGCACCTGGGAGCAAGGGAAGTATGTATACTTTCAGCAGTGCTCTTCTAATAAATATATATATATATGTATATAATAATGATAAAATAAATAACAATAGCAGTAATAAAATGTTATGCATGTGGCCTAAGATTATGTGCAATCTAAAGGTCATGTATCTTAAGCAAGGGATAAAAACATCACTGCTAGGGATATTCTCTACTAGAAGATGTAAAGCTTTGATGCAGAACATGCGTAGGAAACGGCAGAAGGATCTCAGGATCAGGAGAAGTTAGGCACAGGGTCCCTCCGTCTGAAAATGCCACATAGTCTTTGGGACTTTATTCTGGCCATTCCCTCATAGGAAAAGCCCTGTGGGCACGTCTAGGGTTGTCGCCCTGGGCAGGGCAGGAATTGGAGGCTCCTGATGCCGCAGGTCCAAGGCAGGGTCCTGAGAGCAGGTGGGAGCTCTCCAGTTACAGATGCTCAGGGGAATCTGATGTCTTTTTCCCAGGCTTGCAACTCAAATTTGATTTCTTTGTGTCCCTGTGATGGTGCAGGTCTCCAGCCTTGCTGCAAGGGGAGGCATCGGGTTCCCACCCGCTCCGCTCCTTCGGGGAGCGAGGACCTCTTTTCCCAGCAGCTTGTTGGGAAGCAGGAAGCACTTGGGGTCCTGGGGATCCTGCTAAAATGCCAAGACTTCAGCCAAAACCCCGTCGCATGGACCTCAGCCCTCACAAACCCTCTCTCAAGCTCTGCCTCGTCCCCCGGCTCGTCCCCCCGTGGCCAACTCGGGCTCAGGTCAGGTATGCGACCGCTTGCTGATGCTGCAGCTGGTGGCCTGTTTGGTCATGTCCTGGTAGGAGGCAGACTTCAGGAACCGGGGGTAGGAGTCCTTCTCCATCAAAGTGCGGGTTTTAGCCTGGGCTTCGTTGAAGCAAGCGGAGGTGGCACCTGAGAGGTTTTTGCGGGTGATCTCCCTGGTTTCGTGGTCGATATTCACCTGCAAGGAAGCAGCACCCAAACCCATTAACTTGGTGTTAACTGGCCTTCCATGGGGGAGGGGGGGAAAGGGACGGACAAAAATGGTTTTCTCCATCTTCAGATGAGGGTGAAGATGCTCTCAAGCTTTTACATCCCTTAATGTTGGTAGACCATACGATGTTAGAGATGAAAACTGCCATGAACAAGAGCACATCTTCCCACTGAGCTGAGAGCACTTTAATAAAATGCAGTGGGATATTTTATTCCTTTCCCACCCTATTTGATGCCACAGGACAGAGGCAGAAAATACTCTCACCTCTCTGGGTGCCTCACTTTGGACAAACTCCTCGAAGATCCTGTTGGCCTTGGAGGCCAGCTTGGTTTTCGACCGGGTCTTTTTGAAGTCCTCACACGCCAGCCAGAAGTCAAGGTTCTCCTCGCTGAACTCTGTCTTCAGGAAGGTGTGGAAGGCTGTCACCCCACCTGGGGAGGGCAGAGAAGAGCAGTTAATGGGGCAGAAGAGGGGAGGAAGAGGAGGACTGCTACCAGACATGGCGCTGCCCAGCAAACATCACCCTGGGAGCTCAGACCATGACATCTGCAGATTTCCTTTCCCTCCAGGCAAATTCCACCCTCTGAGACACTGCTAATTGGCCTCTAGACTCCAATAAAATCCTTTCCCACAGACAAGTAATCCTCTGGTTTTATTTATCTGACCTTTCTGTAATGAGGCTTCAGAGTATTTTCTTTACAGCTTCGGAAAAGAGCTAATTCTACCTAAGGAGAAATCCACTGACGTACCAGTACGCCTGCAGGAACCGAGCAGCGATGGCTTTATTTTTATTTCTCAGCTGAGATCTAAGGGGAACGAGATTCTGAGGAGTATGGGAGAGTAATTGCAACAAGGATTTCAGAGCCAGGCTGGAGGGATGTTTTAAGTTACAGAGCCAGAGATACTTGTTAGGCATCACAGCACGTGAGGAAGGCTGGAAAAAAAATATGCCTAGCCCCAAACTAGCACTATGGAAGGACTTTCTCTTGCTGTGGAATAGCTTTTAAGGTAGAAAATTACTTTTGTGTTAAAATTTGGCACTTTTACCATTGTACACCTGCTGTAAGCCCACTGTAAGGAAAGGATTACATGTGGGACTCAAAAAGAGGTCCCCTCTCTGGGTCCAGGGGTACCATCTGCACGGGGGAGAGGGGACAGCACCTTACTACCCTGCACATCACCACACATACGGCAAATATTGGAGGGGGAAATGGCTACGTGCAACTCAGTAAAGCAGCTGAATTCCTTCTCCCTGTGGAAGAGCCATCCCCGGAGGCACAGGACGGACAGATAGGGCAGCAACACAGTTTTCTGAGCAGCAAAGCCGGTGGGGCGGTGGCTGCGTTGCGAGGCAAAGGGGGACACACCACGAGCAGACACACTGCCTTCTCCTGAGTGTGGCAAAAGGGATGGTCAGGGCACAGCATGATGCTGTCCCTGAGGGACTGCTGCCCACGGGATGTCCACGCCAATGCTCCTGTCCCAAAGCAGCGGCAAGGCGTTGTGAGACAGCACTTGTGCCCCCCCAAAGACCCCCAGTCAGAAGAAAAGGTTACAACTTCACAAGCCAGGCAATGAGCCCTTGTGCATCAGCTCTGTCAGGGTAGGAAAGGGACCTCTTTCCAAATCCTAACTGATTTTGTTTGAGGAGGAAACAAGATTTCCTCATACACTGGCTGCAGGCGTACAGTCACCCCCTTGCTCACTGGAAACATGCTTGTCCTGCGTGTTGTCACCAAGAGAAGAAAACAAGATCCTACTCACTTTTACTCTTCAGCAGCTGGTCAAAGGACTCCCTCCATTCAAGTACGTCTCGTGAGGAGTCTCTGGAAAAAACAAAAGGACGTAAAGCTCACTGTCCCACCAACAGTACTTCTCCTGCCCCACAGCAAAGAATGGGAGCACTTCAGTCACGCAGCCCCATTAATGGGAGACGCTACAAGAAGGGAGGCAGTGGCACTTGGTAGGAAACCAAAGCGAGTATCCTCAGTATCCGTTACCTGTGGGCTCTCTTTCCTTTCTCCCTTTCTTTTGCTTTCTCCGATGTCTCACCAGACCTCAGATCCATAGTGCAGCTTTGGCCAGGTAGCTTCTCTAGAGGATACTCAGAAGATCCCTTTTCTGATGGTACAAGCCCAGGAGAGCCTCCTCTGCAAGAGGTTACCTTGCCTTCAGCAGCAATATTTAATATTTTGTTTTGAATGCTGCCTACGTGCCCAGGCATTGGGCTGAGACACCAGGAACTGCGGGAGCCCTCTGGGTTTCTTGCCTATTGCTAAGGCCCTGCTCTCTGGTGCCTAATGCCAGACCACCAGTTCCCCCATCCGATTTTATAACTGGAAGAGCTGGGAAGTGATCCGCCCTCCCTGCCTGCTGGGGTGGGACCGTGGGGAGGGTGATCTGCACTTTGTCCTCTCTGCTGCGCAGATGGGCAGGAGCATCCCCCAGGAGAGCCTGGTCCAGGGGGACCTGTCCTAGGCTGAACCTGGGACACGACACTGCTTGGCTTACCTCCGCCTGGAGCCCAGTTGCAGCTTGCTGGAGGTCCCGATCCTGTGTCCCAGCTCCGGTTTATGAAGCAGGATCCCTAAGCGGGTCTTCAGATCCTTGGCTCTGGAAGGAAGGAAGGGGAGAGGTGGGATTGCTGGACCACTGGGCTGCTGCCGCCACCCCCCCACCTCGCAGGGGCTGCACCCAATGGACCCGACACAGCTCAGAGGTGCAGCCCTCGCTCCTCAGCTTCAGCTGCTTCTTTGCCTTCTGATGGACGAAATTAATGCTCCTCCAATTGCTTTTTCTGCTCCCTGGCAACCACGCTTAGCAGTGCATTAAGCCCGGGGGACTGTTTCCTCCTGCTCGCTTCCCAGGTAGCGTCATGTGCATTTATAAAGCATGGTGAGCTTTTTCCTCGGGGGCAGGTAGCAGAGCAGCTGCTGAGTGCCCAGCTGGAGCCCCCACAGCCCCCCAGATATAACCTGGCCCCTTTTCCCATCCCCCTCTCCCAGCAGTGCTACACTGCTCCTGAAGCACTGCAAAAACACAGCGGTGGCTTTCTGTTCAGCAGAGTGGGATCATCACCCCGCTGTGAGGCTGCTGCAGCAAGGTGGATGCTCCCCTGGCTGTTTTGGTTTTTCTTTGTTTGTTTGCTTTTTTTTGGGGTGCCCCTGAGTCACCAGGAGCCTGCCACCACGCCACGGAGATGGCTGCGCTCCCCGGTGGCACCTACCCCATCACTTGGAGATCCAGCGAGCCCGGTGACAGCACGATGCTCCTTTGCCAGAGCCGGCTGTGCGAGTGCCTGGGATGCAGCTGCCTGTCACCGTGGCTCTGCGGCGGTGGCACAGAGGCACCTCCCTGCCAGGAGGTCTCTGTGGCAATAACGGCAAAAGCTGCTGCTAAATCGGCTCCTTTCCCCGGGGTCCCCCCGAGGCAGCCCGCGGTCCCGCTGCTATTTGTGTGCTGCAGCTCATTCAGGCATCCCAAGGTGCTCATACAAAAATAAGTGTTTAAATGTCAAGCCGGCAGCGTGGGGCTTTGTAGCCATGTTTGGCAGGAGGAGCAACATATCACTTAACATTTCAACTGTGTTAACAAAAATAGTCCTGCTGCTGTCAACTTGAAGCAAGTTCTGCAGAAACGGAGCCAGAGAAACAACCCTGGTGTGTTTGCATGCCCAGATACATGCAGGGCAGCCCTAGCCAGCCTCCTCTCCCTCTGTATGTTTTACCCCCATGCTCCCCTCCTGGGGAGCAGGACAGATGCAGCCAAAACAAATGACCCGGCCCATCCTTTGCTGCGTGTTTCCTTGTGGTCTGCACCCCAGTTTCTACTGAAACGTCACAACCGCAGCAGCAGCGGCTGGCCCAGCCTCTCCAAAGTTAGACGCATCTTTTCCAGCTAACCTTCTGCCATCCCAGAACTGCGGCGCGGCGAAGACCCTTACCTTTCCAGGCAAGTGATGGGGAGTGTGGCTAACCCCCGGCACATGCTGAGAGCTGGGCACCCAGGCACCCAGCAACTCATGGGTTCCTTGGTAGCAGCGTGCAACAGGCGGCTGCGGCACCACCTGCGCCCGCAGTCGTGTGCTGTCGGCTGGAAAAGCGGTGAGGAGCCGTGCTTTATATCGGGTGGGAGGCGGGAGAGCTGGGAGGGGGACCCAGCATCGCTCCAGCCAACCAAAAACTGCTCTGGCAGCGCCCGGCGAAGATAACGGCTTAGGTAGGTTTCTTTTGTGCTGTTAAGGGAGGGGGGAGTGGGAGGCCGAGGTTTGTCCTTGAGCATCACAGTCATAACTGCTTACTCGATAACAGGAAAAAACAGGCTCATTTCCACCGACGTGCTGAGTAACCGCCGGCGGGTGGGTACGCAGATGGGGAGAGCAAGAGGGACAGGACAGACGCCGTAACACACGGCAATTCGTCAGTTCCGTCCTGCTGCCTGAGGACTTTCCAATCCTCCCGGCGCTGCAAGGGCTGGCGTGGTGGCATCACAGCAGCATGCTTTTCCCCAGGTGGTTTAAGCGGGGGATGCCAGTCCCCAGCAGAGGCAGGCTGTTTTGCAGCATCCCAGGGGCGGATGAAAAGCCCTGGGGGAGGGTCTGTGCTCCCGAGGACAATGCAGTACACCCACCCCCCCCTCCCCGCCTTGCACTGCTGTTAGAACAGAAGGGTGTAATGCTTCCACATCCCCCTAAATTACACTGCCTGGCCACAGCTAGGATAAATAAGGACTGATGTCTGACCCCACGTGCTGGCAGAAGTGGCACTTCTTCATCCCAAATTCTCTGCTGGGTCTATGGTGGGAGAAGAGAAGAGAAGAGAAGGGGATGCGCATCAAAGAAAGCCTGAGCAAAGCATGGGAGAGCACCTGATAAAGGTGGAGCCTAATGAGAACTGAAGATGAAAAAAAGAAGAGACTGAACGCAGGGGAGAGGTTGGAAACTGGAGGGGAAGGACTGAACCAGCAAAGGAGATGGATGAGGAGAAAGAGTTAAACCAGTGCCAGACACTGTGTACCCAGTGAACCCCAAGGTCTGGTGCAACAAGCAGAGAGGTCCCCGACAGCCAGCAGGTCCCCAACGCCAAGATCAGGCTCACAGTGTCCCAGAGAGCTGCCCTCCCTGCAGTTCCCCAGTCAGAGGCTCCGGGAGGGAGCTCACCACTGTGGGGGGAACGACCCTAAACACCCCTGCCCACGGCCATCCCAGGGCAAAGGCAAGAGCTGCCGCCTCCACTCCTCATCCTCTTCCTTCCTCCCCTCTTGATCTCTGCTATTACCAGCTCCGCAGCCAGCACAGACATTTTTCCAGAGCTCAGGTTGTCTCCTACCCTTGCTGCCTGCATTAATCATGCGTGGGACGTTGCCGGAGCACCTTGCCTGTGGGAGATGAGCTGTGGCAAGGGAGGTGGTAACACGCAGCCATCTCGGACCCAGGCTGGGCAGAAAGGTTCTTCTCGAGCTGCCTTTGGGGAGCAGAAGCACAAAGATATCAGGATGGGAGACTTTGGGAGGAGACTAAGCACCTCAGCTCCCTTGAGCTGTACTGGGGACTCCTGTCTTTCTCCCACCACTTAGAAAAAGCCACTGAATTGTCTTGCCCCTGGCTAGCCAGAAATGATGCATCAGGACTAATGACCAAACACACATTTTTAGCTCCTGTCCCGGCTTTAATGACAAGAGCAGACTCTTTCCCGACAGCTCTGTTTTTTTTCACTTGGATAAACACATTTAAGGCTTCTTGGTTAGCAGATATTCAGCTACAGATAAACATTTGAAGCTACAGAGAGCTCTCGTTTATGTCTTCCCTGTGCCTTAAAACCATGATTAGAGCTGTGATCCTTGCTGTAGATTTAAGGAAAGAAGGGGAAGAGTAAGGGTGAGAGGACTGTAAGATTGCCTTTGCACTGTGCAGATGCTAAGAAGGTCTGTGCATGCCCACAGCGTGGACGTCGTTTGAACTAACAGAGATTTTGGAAGTGCTTGGCCCCGTCAACCTGTTGCTCCACCCCAGCTCACTGCTATGCTGGGAGCACTGGTGTCGCAGTGGTACCTGGTACCCACAGGAGAGGTTCACACCTGGGTACTTCGGCACTGGCCATGCACACATATCCTTTTACACTCGCCCCCCAGCTGTAGTGGCTGGCCAACAACAACAGCTATGAGTTTGGGCTGGCAACGGTGCTTCTCCTCCATCTCCTCCCCAGTTTTCTGCACAGATGCAGTACTCAGTGATGCCCTGGTGTTGTTTTGTCTCATCATTTTGGGGCATGCTGGGTGTTAAGCATAACTTCGCCTATATCCTTTTCCCCTGTTAAAACTGTGCTCCCACGCTGCAGCCCATTCTCCCACCTACAGATTTACAAAGTCACAGGATGCTCTGGGGACTCTCCCCGGTGTTTGAGGCACCCCTGGAGCAGGTTATGCCACGAGGAAAACCTCCAGGAGGCTAGGCACGTGTCACAGACACGCAGGACAGGTGACTTCTGGCAGCAATTCTGTGGTCCCAGAGACAACCGCTTTGCTGGGTGCCACATGCTGCTTGAAGCAGCTGGGGAAATGCAACGGTTTGGCAAAAATACAGCTGGGACTGCAGCGACAGCCACGGCCCGTGGGAGAGGAGCATGAGTGACGTGAGCCAGAGTGGAGACACTCTGCCCATCTCCGCCCTTGTACGACAACCTGCTGAAACCTCCACTTTGCTTCAGGCTCTGTCCCCCCACTGCTTTTTCCCCCTAGAAATAAGATGCGTTGGTCAAGCGCGTGTGTGGTTTTATCTTGTTTTATCTTGAAGCGGTGCACGGCTCGGGGCACGGCGTGGTCCCAGTACCACGCGCGTGGGTCTGAGCCCGGGCACAGGAATGGGATGGGGCCGTTCTGGTGACGTCCTGCCCACCAAGGCCGGGACAGACCCACCACCTACTCCGCTGCAGCCACCAGCCCCTGCAAACCCCACTCCCCCCGGCAGCTCTGCTCCCTTGGGACAGCTCTATTAACCCTCCCCTTTGATGGTGTGGGAGATGCTGTTCAGGGATCGGCAGCTCACCACTGTGGGATGCGCAGGTGCAATATTTTATAACGCAGAGCTCTTCAGTAGGGTTATGCAATAGCCTCCGAGCCCAACGACGTATGTGTACTCAGATGTTTTTATGCCGCTCTATATCTAATTTAATTACGTGCTTCCTGTCTTATTTAGCTTAGCAGCCTCCCGCGGCTCCAGCTCGGTTGCCTGTATTATCAGTCCTTGTTTTGGAACACAAAGAAAAAAAACTCACTTGTGTCGCAACACCGAGGGCCGGTCTCCCTTCCTGTAACAGTGCCGCAGCCTTGCCGGCATGAAACCCACCTCCCATCCATGGGGACTGGCCCTCTCGGGGTTTAATTTCTCCCAAGCAGGGTGCACTGGGGGGGACCCTGCGTGCTTGGGTTGGAAGGTGGTTGGACCATGGAGGCACCTGTGGTGGGAGAGCTGCAGCTGCCCTGTGCCAGTGCAGCACCAGCGCTTGTAGGGGTACCAGCTTCCCCATCAGGAGCAGAACACAAAACCTCTCAGCCCCAAGTGCTGCTGCTGCTGTTTCTGGGTTAGTATTTGTGGAAATGCCAGCAACCTTGAAAAATAGGGAAATAAACTTTTCAGCCCCAAAACTATACAAATGAGGTGGGAAAGAAGGAAGGAATGGTGACAGGGTGAAAAGCGCCCTTGCACACATGCCCCAAAGCACAGACAAGCTCCAGTAAATGTTTCTGGTAGCAGGTATATGTGTATGTTTGGTTGGAATAAGAAGGGGAAGATACAGAAATGGATGGGAAGGGAAGTCAGGGAGAAGAAGAGGAAGAGCCAGGGTGAGGCACACTGCTGGGGTCTCGCTGCATTGCAAAAGATGCGAGCCAGGCAGGCACACTGAGACGAACCCTGACACCTGATTTCTCCTAAACCGATGGGGAACAACAGAGGTGGCAACTGGGAAGGGTAAACCCTGAAGACAGAAAAACACAGTCCCTGCATCACTTCAGCCAGAAGCCCGACAAGCCCCCAGGAGCTGTCTGCATGAAATCAGGAAGATGTTGAACGCAAAGGGGTAGAAGGGAGAGACTTACAGGCACTGCGCGCGTCGCACAGCCCCTTCCTCCACCAGCGAGCTGTTGTTAAGCTCTGGTTGTGTTTAAGGAGAGATGTAGGCAAAGGAGATGGGGAAAGGGGTGCCTGTGACGGGAGGTTGCTGCTCTGTGGACAGGAGCGTGGCATCGCTTGGAAGCTGGCGGTGGTGCCCGGGGAGGAGTGGGGAAGCCCCCAGGGAGCCACATTGCAGGTGGGTCTTGGCCACGGGCAGAGCTTAGGAGACACGGGGCGGTGAGGGGCTGCTGTGGGACGCCGTGTCCGCAGGTGAGCCTTGCTCCATCCGTGCCTCCCAGCCCTGGGTGACCCCCACCCCAGCGCAGGACGGGCAGCTGCCCCCCGCCCCGTGCCGGCAGCGGTGCTGGTTCCTCGGTGGCTCCCGCGTGACAACCGGCCCTCAGACGAACCCACGGGGCGTTTAATTGATTCCCAACAAAAGCGCACTCTGCGTTCACATGGAGCATGAGAGGAAATAGCTGCTCTGGAAATTTGTAGCAGTGCGGAAAGAGATTATTGAAATAAAAAAAAGAAATTAGAATTACAAATGAGCTTTTCAAGGGGCAGCTGTTATCCACTCTGCTCACGTGCTCGCTTTGCACAGTGCCGGAGCACATCTGCGTAGGGAGAGGTATCTGACAGCAGGTATTTTTAATCTTCTTTCTGTTCCTGGCACCTGCTCTTTAAAGCCACTGAACAGCAAAAAAACCCCAACAAAAATGATGGCTAAATATAACCTAACTAAGAGGAGAGACAGAGCAGCACTAATGGCAGATCCTTCCTTGGATGCATGCAAATTGTTTTGGCTCAGAGACAGGCTTAGAGGGAAGAAGCAGCAGATGAAAAGGAAAAACAATAAAAGAAGGGAATTAGGACAAAAAAAAAAGGGGGGGGGGGGGGGGGGGGGATAGAAGGGAGGCAGAGGAACTGATAAATTCCACTGCACCACTTTCCAGAGAAAAACAAGCTCATTTAATTTTTGTTGTTAGATGCACCCTGGTGCAGACCGTGCAGCTAACACTCACCTTTCGGCAGGGAGGGTGGGCTGTGCACCAGGCAAGGAGTGTCCTCAGTGTGCCCAGGGCCGGGCAGGATCCAGGTTTGCTCTCCTTGGCTTGCCAGCCCGGCTCAAGAGATGCCCTGCTTGGCCTCAGCCCTTTCTCCAGGTGGGCATCAGCCTCCGTAGAGTTGCTGCAGCCCCGCTGTGCAGCAGATCTCCCACGGTGCAATTTTCTGCTAACCCACAAACAAGCTCCCTCAGCTGCCCTCACTCTGGTCTCTGTCCCTTGCTAACACCTCCTCTTCCCCCTTTGGCACCCGTAATTGCCCTCAGCTGCTGCCTGATGCTTCCCCAGCAAGCCCAGGCTCCTCCAGACTCCCTAAACTGGCCCCTGGGACTCACTGAGTCTCTTTGACTTCTCCAGCTCATGCATGCCCTTGTCCCCAGATGTGCTATCCCTGCTTGCTGAACTTGCCCTTGCCTTTCCCATTCCTTACTTTTTCGCTCCCATCCCTACCGCCAGCCCTTGCCCCAGGCTTTGCCAATGACTCACCAACCTATTCCTGCTCACCTCTCCCCAGTTTATCCCCCAAGGATGGCTCAAGATGAGACCTTGATTCAAGCTGCGACCTTGATTCAAGCTGCCTACTGGAGCCTGGGGGCTGCCTTTTACAGCCTGGAGAAAGCATTTGTTTGTGCTTCATGGCCTGATCACGCTTGATCCATCCACACTGCTCCCTTTTCGGGGAGATCTTGCTTGTGCATCCCCCACTGCTGGTCCTGGTATGGGGAGCAGGCTCGGCCCTTGTTTTCATGCTTGTCAATAAGGCAGCGTGATGGAAAAGCTGCCAGAAGGGCAGGTGGGATCTGTGTCACCCGCAGCACTGGGTGCATAGCAAAGGCTGATGCCCCAGCTCTGCCACTTTTGCTACTCCTGGCTGCGTGTCAGTGGGTTTAATGGGCTGATAAAGAGTGTTTGCTCCGGAGCTATGAAGGTGGTCTGGTAGGAGAGAGCCAACTGGTTGCCTCAGCAGCCTCGTGTCCCCCCACCACTCTCCTGGCAGGGAAAGTGCTTGGTTCTCGGGTTTCCCAAACAAGCAGGTACCCAGTGCTGCTGCCCTGGCTGCACCACAGTGAGCCCATCCCCGCCAGGAAGGTCCTGCGGATTTACGTGTGTTTCTGCAAGGTACCTGCTTCAGGGGAGCAGGGAATTTCTCTGTGTTGGAGGGATGCTCGTGCCAACCATCACCGCTCTCTGTGCTGCCTGCCTCCCCAGGCTGAAGCCAGCAGACATCATCAGCCCCTCACTGCCGGGAAGTTTTGCTGCAGCCTTCTCCAAGAACGGCTACTGCCAACACTGCTTGTGCTCAGGTCCTCGGTTTTGGGGTCTGGGGTGGGCAATCCATCGCAGGCAGCAGTGGGGTGTACCCAGAAAAGGACAGCAATGCACAGGTGGAAGGCTCTTCAGATTTACCTTCCTTGTAGTCTCCTAGATCCTACTGACAATATTTCTGACTCATCTCCCCAAACTGCACCTCCAGGGAGACTGGTTCTAAATTGTTTCAACAGAGGAGACCGACTGCATAGAGTTAGTGTGTCCCTTCTTTGCTGCCCCATCCAGCATGTCTGCACCAGTGAAACCAGCACACAGAAGGATGAGGGCAGGGTCTGAGAAGGCACTGGCTTCTCCCATCCTCATCCTCATCCTCCTCCACAATTTTTCTAGGAGACGCCCTTCCAGCTCTGGGCTCGCAGTTCCCTCTTTCCTCTCCATCCAGGAGAACATGCTCGACTCGCACCTTTTCAGACACTCAGGCAGAGAACAAGTAGTCTCAGGCTGTTTATTACGTCCTCATGGTCTCTATACAGTACAGGTGAGTAACACTTTACAATGCGGTGACACGACTCAGGGGGGATATCATTGCTGGTTGGACATCTGGTACGGCTGAGGAGATCCTCCAGCCTCGTCGGGGAAGATGAGGCTAGCAAACAAGCAGCTAATGCTGAGGGAAGGTCAAACGAACCCGAGCCCATGCCCTCCCCTGCACGGGAAGGAATCAGACTGAACAGCCCGCGTGTCCTGGCCCAAACATCTCCTCCTGTTATCTACCAACACCAGCAGCACCCAGGCACTGTGAAGGAAGTTACAGCATCAGGACCTAATTAAAATAAAAATATGGCATAGGGAAGGTCTTAAAAGAGCTGGTCTTTCTACCCAGGAACCTGGTGTCTCACTTCTGAGTTCACCCGGTCCGGTAATGCACCCCTAAATCTCTTCTGAGCCACCCACAAACACGTTTCCCAAGGAACAATACATTTTTATGGTTTAAGACAGACTTATTCAGTGCTTGGGTTTGGAGCTAGGTCCTGAAGGCCCCTTCCTGCCAGTGGGACACTGCCATCCCACTGAAGATGGAGGTGCCAGAGAGCTTAAAGAAAACTCTGAACTCTGTGTGTCTGATTTGGGTTGCTTGTAGAGGAGGGGGGAGAGAGGTTATAGGAGGATGAGATACTTTGACCGTGGTTTTTAAGGAAAGGGGATCTATTCCAGGGAGAATTTGTACCCTGTTCTCTTCATTACCAGTAGTCCCGCAGAGGACTGCATAAGTAAACACAACACAAGATGTCTCCTTCCCCTCATTGCTTTTTAGCTGATGACTGCAGGCACTGATAGAGTGACGTGAAGACATTTCTCCTAAGATAACGCTGTTATCTACACTTTAAATGCAAAGCTGGGCAGCTCCTCATCCCTCATGTTTTAGGTCTAGCCTGGGGCACACAGCACATGATGCAAACTGGGAGTTGTGGGGCTACTGGAGACAAGAGATTCACACCACAGTGGGTCCCCATACCTCCCTGGTACACCAGGTGCCTCCAGAAACAGGCACTGCCTTTTCTTCTGTGCCTTTTTTTCCAGAAACGGTGGATTTTTTCAGCAAGAAGCTCATCCCCTTTTGCAAACTCCCTCCCATGCCCTCAGTTCCCTGAACTCCAGTTGAGTTTACTGCAGTCTCAAATTAAAGATACATCCCTCCAGTAAAACCAAGAGGAGGGACAGAGCAGGACGACTGACTTCACTAAGCAAATACAACACACACACACCTTTATTTACACTCTTTTTTTTTTATATCGGAAAGCCAAGAGGAAGCACAGCTGTGACCCTGCCGAAGCAGCCGCTGCCGCCGCGCAGCACGGCTGCCCTCTCCGCTAGCCAGCCCCTGCCACAAGCACAGCACGTGGAGCATGGATGGAAGAAAAAGACACGATACGGGGGACAAAACGAGCCTCTGCAAAGCCCAAGGGGTGCATGGCAGAGAAAAGCATTCTGGTCTAGCAGCAAAATGAACTTTAATTCCAGTTCTGTGACATAACACTTTGATGCTGGAGAAAACACAGTACCAAGGAAGAAGACAACTGCAGCAGCCCCAGGAATGAAAGATAACGCAGAAATTATGTGAAGTGTTTTCTTATATAATGAGCAAGGAATAGCTACTAGGAACTTTATAGTGATAGTGGGAGGAGGTATGAAGGAGAGAGATGGCAAGACCAGAGATAAGTGTCTGGGGAAATAAAAGGCAAAGAAGAGAGGAGGGATAGAGGGTATGTGAACAGGAGGGCATGGGAGGAGGTTGTGTGAAAGCCAGGCTCAGATATATGGGGACAAATAGTGCTGGTGGAGAGGAAGGTTGGCATGGACAGGAGTGCTTCGGGGAGGAAACTGTAAGGAGAAGGAGGAGGGAAGACCACAAGGACAGGACTGAGGAGGAGAGATGGGTTTGGAGGGAGAAGCAAGAGGCCCCCAGGGAGGGGAGAGCTTGCACTGACGGGTGAGAGGCACTCCAGGACTGGCATGAGGTATGCTTTGCTATTGCTCTGAATGCTGTAAACATTTTGGTTTTGTGTCTATCAGTGAACATTCAGTTCAGTTTGATACATGTGCTCTTATGGGTAACTGGAAGCCTAGCAGAGTTTTACATCTCTTATTACTAGTCAAACTTACACACGAGGCAAACACAACACTGGCTAAAATCTCATTTTATGTCATTTATGCCTAATTCTCCTATTTTAACATGCACATCTATGTCTCAGAAAAGCTCCTCTAGTAGGAGACACTAAATAGCATATACATGCACTCTCATCCACCCACACCAGCAGACACACACACCTATTTCCCTCCCCTGCTTAGACTTGTGGGACTTTGCCCTTCACACCTTACCCATGCGGAGGGCAGGGACCCATCGGTACATTAAGCAAGTCCAGTAAAAGTGATGGGAATTATCCCAAACCTGGCTGACAGGCCAAAGCAGGAAAAAGAAACCCAAAGCAGATTAGGGTTCTGCATCTGCTTCTGGAGTTAACAACACCAGAAGCTTATAGAAAAGGGAAAGACAATTTATAAACTCTTCTTCCCTTTTGCTGTCAAAGGACTCGGGAGCTGACTGCTACGTGCCAGTAAACACACAGAATAAAAAGAGCTGAGTGAAACAATTTTTTTTTTTTTTCCTTTCTTCATGTGATGGTACACTCTGACATTACTTGAAGCAGGAGGAAAATTTTGGAGGTGTGTCCTTGTGGAGAGGGGAAACTGTGTTTATGTTATTAATTATGAATATCCCTTTCACACTAGTAAGAGATGAATCAAAGATAGGGTATTTGTCCTTGATGGGGATTAGTCATCACTCAGTGCTTTCCGAAGCTTTGGCTCAGTCATTATTTCCTTAATCAGCCCCTGGTTTAAGGGGAAGAGCTATAAGCTGCCTATTTTAATTCACTTCAGACTGACATTTGGCATAAAAGAAGCAGCTGGTGCCAATTTCTTGGTTTTTTTAAAAAAAAAGAAAATTTACTTTAAATAACTAGTCTGCTTTCCTTCAAGAGAGACAAACTGTAAGAGCAGAAACAAAAATAACTGTGATAGACTCACATGCCTCAGACAATACTTTTGCTCCACTCTGTGCTCTAGGATGTTTCCAATGGAGGATATTATCTGGCACCAGTTTAATGGGCAAAACACTTCTACATCTGCCGGAACAAATACAGTTCTTGTCACCAATGCAGCAATGGCATCTCTGAATGCGCCCGCTCAAAGCAATTCCCCAAGTTGATGGAGGAGAGAGGGGAGCTTGGTTTTTACAGGGTGTTGGCTACTTTGAAGTTTTTCCATGGGTTCTGACATGAACTGAAAGGATAACAGCACGGACGCTGGAGGGGCGTGCAGAGAGATGTTACCTCCTGGCCTTTCTGGAGTCTCACTCTCAACAGGACCAGGCTTTGTAGCCACCAGGGAAGCCTGGGAATTGTCCTCACTTCCGAGTTTCTGCTCCTCATTCCTCAACCCAAACACCTTGCTTCTGCTGATTCCTCATCGCCCGGTTGTCTCTGCGACCCTCACCGCCGTGGAGGGGCTGCTGGGCATTTTGCTGAGGAGCCTTGGCTGGGATGCTTCAGCTGGCACTAGAGGTCAGCACCATCCAAGCCCACTCAGAATTGTAGCCGTGGTTTTCAGGGCAACACCACAAGGCAGTTAACACGGTGTTCTGCCTTCTCTTTAAAAGCAATGACTGCATAAGTCCGCTGCTGCTGCCTCTCACATCCAGGGCAGCAGTCGGTATGCTTTTTGCTTCTGCAGCCAAGAGGAAGGCAGGGCCAGACAAGGTGGCCCCACTCCATCCCTTGCAGCACAGCTTGTTTGACGCCACAGCACTGGGAAGCTGAGCTGCTGCTTTGCAGCAGTTGGACCGCCAGTCACTGGGCCATATTGCAGTCGCAGTGACACTGGGTACAACCGGCACCGCAGGCCATCTCAAGGGGAACTATTTCAGCCAAAGCAACCTGCGTCCCCGAGAGATGCCAGTCCATCCTGTGTTATGCAGGGGTGGTAGACACAGTGGTTCTTGGAAAGGAGACTTCTTCCAGCCCCTCCTCACAGTCAGTGGCTTTGCATCCTCCCTTACAGATCACGCACTGAGAGCGTTTCGCCGCAATGTGGGGCGACTTCCCCTCCTCCTCCCCTTTCACCTACAGCGAGACGGGGCTGTAAAAGTGATGTGACTCTGTTCCTCTTCCTATAGCCCAGATACCTCCAGGGACAGCCACTGGATGCAGGACTCCATATCCTTTGCTTCTGTTTTTGACTCCTTCCAGAGCATTGCACAATTTTGCATGTGCACCCTATTTAGACTTTAGTGTCTTAGAGACCACAGGAATACACCTCCAAAATAAAACAAACATGCTTACCATCCCTACCTTCATCCTGACCCTATTTGTCCCAATGCCCTGCACAGCATCCTTCCAAAGAGCCTCGAAACATGCTTCCTACCTAATGCATGCACCATAACTTTTAATATCTTTTTGTATCTCGTTCCAAACACCTTATGCTCAGCTTTAGAATTCAGTGTACCTAGTTTACACCACGTTGTACTAAACCTTCATCACCAGCTTTCTGACATATCAAACCCACCCACCGCCCTCAACTAGAGCAGAGGTGTGCAGCCTCTGATCTATAGGTGACTGGGAGAAGAAAAAGATCCATGAGGTTACTTTCTAGGCTTTCATAAAATTAGGAAAATAGACCTCTGGTCTGTAGGCTCAAATCCACAGACAGGCTGTCTGCTCCTCCACAAGAAAATATTGCAAGAATCTGACAGCCGATAAGCTGGAACGGCAAAGCTGTAGAAATGGAGCCTTCAGATGGCAAATATTATTGCATAGCACAGAGGAGGTGCTACACAACTGGCATCTGCACAGAGTCTTCTGCAGCTGGCTGTCCAGGCTACGGGAATAGGGCCAAAGTACACTTCATACACCACTTCATACCCAGACACTCGTCCTGCTCACTGCATGCTTCCCTGCGTCCTGATTTTCAGCAAGCACCATTCAGCAGGGTCTGTGTCTTTAGTAGTTCTTTACATGACATTGGACACACAGTGGACAATAGGTAGGTAACAACAACAGTCAATAATCAGTAAATAACAAAAATATAATTGTGATTTTTCATGTTACCTCTCCCTGCCATGCACTGGGTCAGGTACTACATGAAAAATGCTATCTGCCATAGCAGACAGGTCTTGTGCTCTTCTTACATCTCAGCATGGGGCAGATGGGACATTCCTTCTCTCCGCTCTTTCCTGACAGCTGGCAGGTCATTCCCAAAAGCCGCCAAGCCTGTTGATGTCTCTGGTGGCCAGGAGCCTCTTTGTGTTAGGTTTTGGTACGGTGCCTAGCACAATGAAGCCTGAATGATGACTGGAGTCCTGAGGCTGAACTACAGTACAAATAAGTAATATTAATGAAAAACAATCATTTGCACTGAAAGACTTGTCTGGTGAGGTATGTCTAGCGAGAGCTTTTGGGATTACCTTCCTCATGAGAAAAAGCCAGCTCCTTGACAGTCATATGAAAAATAACTCCTAGTCTCCACCCCTGGAAGATGCGGGGCTGTGACAGGGTAGCAGCTGGTGTCATAAGGTGTGCAACCAAAACGGAAAGATGGGCTGAGTTCACTGATGGTTTCCGCTCCGGGAAGCAGCATGAATCATTTGCCTTCACATTCTCTCTCCCTCCCCTCTCCCCCTCCTTCCAGTCTCTGGATCCAGACCCCAGCAGCCAGTGTGGGAAACAATGCTTTGGGCTGGACTTGGCTTCACAAGTTTCAGAAGTGCAATTAGGGCCCTTCCAAACACGGGGAAGATGTGAGAGCCAGGGAGATGCCTGAAAGGACGGAAAGGTGCAGTGGTGTTATTTACACACAAACCAGTGTAGTAATTTTAAAGGAAACCTCCCTTCCCAAAAGATGACCTCATGACTAGAGAGGACTATGGGTTTGTGCTAGAGAGAGGCAACAACTGCAAGGTGCTACTGCTAACCAAAAAAAAAAAAAAAAGCACAGAAACTCAGAGAGTCCTAATACCACGTTTGGATCACGCTCTGGAAGCCTCCTCTTCCCCTTAGCCCTCTTTTCTCATTCCCACTGCTTTTAACACTAAGAAAGTTTCACATTTAGACATGGGGTTTGGCTGTTGTGGGAAGCACATGGTTTCTGAGGGCCCCATCGCTGCTCTAGCTGAGCCTTCTCTGGGTTTGAGACAGCAGGTCTGTGTAAATTTTGGATCTCAGGAACCTGGGGTAAGAGTCTTTCTCCATCAGGCTGTGCACCTTCCCCTGAGCTTGGTCAAAGCAAGAGAGGGAGGGCTCCTGCATATTTCTTCTTGTCAGCTCCCGTGTCTGGAAGTCTATGTTCACCTGGGAAAAGTAGCAGAAGAGAGTTTGGTACTGAGTGATCGGTTTGCCTGCTTCAGATGGCACGTTTCGTCTCAGCCATGGCTGTAAAAGCTGCCACAGAACGAAGGTCCTGCCTTCATCCATGCCTAAACAGCCCCCCAGACTTTGTGGGGTTTAGCGACCCAGCGTTATGAATCCTGCCCCAAATTTAGAAAACTAGATTTATAGTGAACTAGAAAATTTCTGAAATCAAATTAGTTCTATTCCAGCTCTTAAGCATGGGTTTATGTAGCACATCCTCTAAAAATGCTGAATCAGCCTAACTTCTCTCCTGTCAACCAAGATTTCTCTAGTCCCTTTATTCTTCACCACATGTCCAATGTAAGGGTGAATGAACTTTTAGCTGGGTTTAAACTATTAGTACATTCTTATTAAATGTTTTGCAACTCTTGTTATAAAATAAATTGTTTGATTTTTTCCCATAACAGCTTCACGTTACAATATCTCAAGCAGGGACTTGAAAAAATAAATCACCCTCATGTCATGACTGCCATTTTTTTGCAAAGCCAACAATGTGAGTTTTCCTGTTTTCTTTCCCTAGCAAAGCAGACAGCATTTGTTAGGGTTACTGTTTAAAACCTGTCTGAAAAGATGTTATTTGTTGTTATTAACCCAGCATCCAAACTTAAATGAGTCTAGAAGGCAAAGTCATCTGCCTTAACTCAGATGACAGCAATATAAATTAGCTCTCTGTGTCACTTAGGGGTCATTTGTAGCACGTTAAAATTACAGCAACAGGATCAAATCTTAGGAAAGACCCCATCCAACCTGTGCTCACATTTCTAATCCATATTCAGCCCTGCAGTCCTGAAAATCTCACCCAGCTTCATGCAAAACAGCAGGAAGATGCTCACTGGGGGTGATGGGGATTGAAGCGTGCCCTGAAACACTCACACCCCTTGGTGTAAATCTGGGTGCTTCTCAGTGGCCTCGCAATAGTCTTCCTAGTTCAAAGATGGAGTAAGGAGAGCCCTTTTGGGGGGATCCCCTCACGGGTGCCTGTATCATGACAACCACCCATGCAATCTAGAAGGAGAACTGTCGTTGGCAAGCGGGCGCAGTAAGCGGGTTGCATTATGAATACAGAATAATATAACACAACCCAACATCACGACACAGGATCTGTCAGTCACATCAGCCTGTCAGTACTTGAAAAAGGACTTAACAATTCCAGGCTTCAGGTTGTGACTGCACCTTTTGTTCAGCTCTGAATTATTGCTCGCAACTATTATGAGGTCTAATTGAGTTGGGAGTTAGTCAGCAAATAAACACTCCTCCCTGGAGAGTCAACAAGTTAGTAATTCATAGGATGGTTCTATGCAAAATGTCCTGTGAGAAATGAGCCTGATAGCCTGCTTGGGGATTGATAGTAAATGAGAGGAACAAGGTGAAATATTCCTAGGAAGCTTGTAGAGGTTAGGAAACGTAGGTTGTGGTTGCCAGTGAACTCATTACCTATGACTAATTTAGTATCATCAAAGTAGTTGCCCTCACCAGGGGATGAGTCACCATGAGCGGAGACAGCTGTAAGCAGGCAGGATGGCATCCCCATCCTCCTTATATCCACTCCTCACCATCACCTCTTGGAGGAGAGGGAGGGCTCCCCAACCCAGTGGTACCCCACAGGTCCCCAGTGGGGGAGGTGGACCAGTGCTCCCCGTGCCACAGGGATGCTCTGCCTGCCCAGGGTGCTGGCATGCCCACCTCTCGAGGAGCCTGCACATCGATGAACTCCTCAAAGATCCGTTGAGCTTTGGAGGCCAGCTTGGCTGCCGAGCGGGTCTTCTTGAATTCCTCGCAGGCAAGCCAGAACTCCAGGTTTTCCTCACTGAACTCTGTCTTCAGGAAAGCACGGAAAGCGGCCAGCCCATCTGCAGGAGCGACGTGGGGAGTTACAATGGGCGGAGAAAGAGGGCAGGGAGCAGTCTCTTTAATAGACACCCTTTCATCCAACCCTGCATACCAAAGAGCATTTGATTTTTCCCCCAAGGTTTGTGATCCCAGGACATGTCTATAATTTACACCATTGCATCAGCTGGACTCTGGTGAACTGCTACGAAGCCAAACATCATTTGCTGTTGCTCTGAAAAAGTACTTTGCCAGCTAACATGGCAAAAGACGTTCTTTGAGGTTGGGGCACCTAACCTTTGAAAAGTTCCACTTGAAAACATCAACCTTTAAGACAATACGGTCTCTTTGCCACGGCATCTTGTGCGTGTTAATGCAACAGTTTGTAATGTCTTATCTGTCATTAAGAAAAAACTTTAATAAAACATACCGTCTCTGGACTTGTCTCCTATGTTTTCTGTCACTTTGCTTTATTGCCTTGTGACATATTTTTAGTTCTTATTTAAAAAGAGGAAGGATCTTGGAGACTCTAACTGTTACAGCTACAATGAAGGAGAGAGGGAAAGGACATAGCATAATTACTACTTGTCTAGTCAGTGGTAAAAGTGTTCTTATCACTTGTTAATGCTTAGCAATTGTGACATTTCAGTAATGTAATCTGAGTCAGCTGGGGCAGATTAGAAATATGGAAAGATTTATTAGGCGATCTGTGTCCTCTTAAAGCCCTGCCTGGGTGTATTTATGGACACAGCTATTGTTTTTTATTTCCTTTCCCTGACTGGCACCAGCAGAGTTGAAGTAGCTGAAGGTTTCACAGATGCCCTTTCTCCTTCCTTTAGCCTTGGGATAAATTTGGTTCCTTGTTGTTTTTTGTTTGTTTGTTTTTTTGTTTTGTTTTGGTTTGGTTTTTTTGTTTGTTTGTTTGTTTGTTTTTTGTTTGGTTGGTTGGTTGTTTTTTTTTTTCCAGTAATATGTTTCTAACTTCTCCTGGTCTTTTTCTACAGGATCTGAGTATTTGTAGTTCATGACGGGAAACCTCCTGAGTCAGCATGGGCTACTTCCAAGCAAGTGTCTAAAAATATCGATGGAATTGGGAATGCACTTGGCAAGGTCAGACTCCCCAGAAGGATGGGAGGAACAAGTGTGCCTAGCAGGGATGGACAAAGACCGATGAGGGTTTGTGGGTCCTGCAGTGCTGTGGGTTGGGGCTCCACCTGCCCTGCTTCTGCCATGGGAGATCTTGGCAGTGCTGCCTTCCCTCCTTCCCCCCTGGGCAGGGGGTGTGGGAGCTGGGGCAGAGCCCACGGGGTGATGGCTGATGCTTGGTGTGGGTCATTTTCACAGTGGCTGACCATGTCACAGGATCCATCACAAACTCCCCTACAGCTTTGTCCTTGTTTTCTTGCCTGTACCAAGTACGTGAGGAACAGCAGCAGTGTAACACTGCCCTTTTTCTCCCTTGTGTGTCCTAATCTTATTCCTGATTCTCTTGTTTCTAGTAATAACTTAGGACACAGAGATATTTTTCAGTTCTTGGTCCTGAGCCTCAAGCCCTACGAAATGGCCCTAGGTGTTGAACAGCAACTAACAATCCTATTTCTGGCTGCGCGTAAGTCAGTGGAGATGTCTGACTGCCCAGATCCTCAAAGGGAAAGGCAGAGACGATATTAGTCCAGACAGAACCGTACTACAGGCTAAACCCCTCCACTCTGTGTTTCTCAAAGCTCCTTCATTAATGGGGTCTGCACCGCTAACTGCTCCATCAGCAGCCTGCGTTGCAAAGAGCACAGCAATCGGCGACTGGAACGGGTATGCCCTGTCTCAGCTGCACTTGCTCCTCCCGTCAGCCCCAGGAGGGTGAGAAATAGCTGGATCATACCAGCTCATCCTGCCACGTCTTAATTAATGCACTTTTAGGAGAAGATCAGGGTTTCAGACTACTACTGTGGACGAAACCAAGGCTCCTGTCCATAAGCACTGCAGAGCAATTAACAGTGCAAATTGTGGGTGCAAGCCTGGGACAGTAATGTGACATTAGCCTTGGAGAAGTCTGCAGAGCAGAGAGTGCCAAAGACATGTCGAGGAGCAGGGTAATTGTCAGGCTTACACTGCCCATGGCTGCTTTGAGCCTCCCCGTGGGTAGATAAATACGGTGAATGAGAGACATGTTTCAGGCTGCTCCACTTCCTGAAACCCAGGAGGAGACAGAAAAATTTTTCAAAACCTGTGTCCCCCTTAATGCCTATAAAATTCACAGGGCCTGTGTGGGAGCAAGTGGAGGACTTGAGAATAGAGCAGGGAGTCTTTGAAAGAGGAAGAGCAGAGGACATAACAGCAGGCTGACAGGTTTCAGAAAGCAGAAAGTACAAAAGGGAGAAAGCAGCCGTTCCCTGAGATGTACGTCATTTTATATATAATCAGCTCCTCGGCCATTTGACATTAAATAGTCCAGCACCCAAGAACACTGTTATGACTATACAGTCTCTGCTGTGTTTCTCTGCAGAGGTCTTGCTCCCTTTTCTCTGTCCTGGTCTTTCCCCCTTCCCTTTCCTCTACAGTAGCCCCAGCACTGACAGAGGATCACTTGCAGAAATAGCAGCTTTGCATTGCAAATATAATATCTGCAAAATAGAATATCTGCTAAAAGAAGGGGATGTCATGATTGATGAGGTGAGAAAGGCATTTGCTTCAGCCTTGCCCTGGAGAGCAGCCGCAGCAGGTCCCTCCTGGGACCGGGAGGTTTCCACATGCTCTGCCTCCTGCTCTCAAGTCAATCAGCTCCTTTTTATCTTGAAGTTTAGACAGCGGATCGAAAAATAATAGTGTCTGGCTGTTCTCCACTTCTTCACATATTCCTGTCATGCCCTCATCACAGCCTTTGAGGAGCTGGAAATGATGAGGCTGGACCTGAGAACACCTTGCAGAGGAGGTCTTGGACACGGGAGAGGTCATCCTTGAATCGATACTGCCTGGATTTCCAGAGATTTCATCTGTAGCCTTTGACTGCCTGCCAGCATTTACAGCCGTGCCTGGCAGCCAGAATGTAGAGATGGGAGTTCAGATGACTGCGCAGTAGTAAATCACTGCCCACAAGTTTATCATGGAATAATGATAAATCCAATTGAAAGGGCAGGAGGGCAATTAGGTATGGGGACTGCCACCACCTGAGCTGGAATTTGACCTGGATGTTGACTTTAGTCTCCTCCTGCACATGACGGCTATCAGGGAAGCATCGTTTATGAACGATCAGCACTTCAAAGCTCATCCCACCCGACTGGACAGCTTTCATGCTGGGGCAATCAGCACTGGATTGCAGTGTGATATGAGCAGGAGGAGCATCACCTACTGAGTCAGCCTCCTGGAAGATAGTAGGAACACCAAGAAGTTCGACTCCAAAGGGATGCTTTACAGAAGCAGCACAGGATTTGAACTCTTCAGATGCAGCAGTACAAGATATCCATAAAATGTGCAGCCTAAAGGCAGGGCCATTCAAGAAGACAGAGCCATACTGGCATAGACCACAGCCCTTCAAGACAACTATTGGACACTTATTCAGGAATTTGACTCAAGAGCAGAGATCTTTGCTTGAAGCCAAAGGAATAAATCAGTATTGATAGAGCAGATAGGGTGAAGGCAAAGAAATGGAGCTCTTCTACTGAGTGTCAAGAGTCTGAAAGAGGAGATGACGACATTTGCTTTTTACTTTTGTAGTGTAGATGTAATCTTCAAAATGCCCTGCTCTCCATTCAGATATACCCAGGGAATTCACAAGCGGACTGTCAGGAAAGATTGCACAAGTATTTGTACATTACCCCGTCCCAAGATTTTGCAGAACACTGTACAGCTATAACCCCACAGGTCACCTACGAATTAGACAATGACAAGAAATTGTGTTTTATAGACGGGGACTGCCAGGCAGATCAATGTGAGGATTGAGACCCAGGTGCTCCTGCCATCCCATTAAAACGTTGTTCTTCAGGTCATGGAGAGTGGATCCTTTCCAGTAAAGAGGACTGTGGTGGAAAGGACTGAACTGGCTAGCAGAAAACACAACACAGGTCTTAACTAAGGCAAGCTTCGGCAACACAAGGAAGAGCTGAGATTAGTGGCTTAAATCATTCAGGCAGACAGCTTAATAACCAAGCATTAGCCACTGTCAGAGTAAGAAAGCGATCAACAATCATTTATTTAATGCATGCATTTCACGCCATCAGGGCAATCAGTATTTCACGTAGGGAATTAAAGGTAGAGTCCTTATGGCTGGTAGATGAATGGATTATCTCTACGGAGCATGTTGGGTCCAGGGCTAAAGAGACAAGGCCACAATGCTCTGTATAGCATATGTACATGTTCTCACTGTTGCTTAGCATTACTTCATTGAATGTTAGCTGTCTGTCAACAGCACAATGCTAATGCTAATGCTGTTCTGGCTTAGAAAGAACTAGGAGTAGGTTGGGATATTCCTGTGCTGTGTAGGAAGAGGAGCAATGTGTAGAAAACAGAAGGAGGAGGACAACAATAAAGTTTGGGCAGAAGAGCACAGAGATCACAAAAAATGGTGGAGCAGGGTGGGGGGCGGGAAATCACCCTTGAGATAAAAATTGAAATTCAGCACAGAGGTTTTCTACATTGGATGCTTCATTGAAAAGTGACTAAGGGTTGAGGACAGACTGTTCTGCTGGATTCTGGACAAACGACAAGCCATGTGTCCAGCCCCACAAGGGATGCAGAATGAGACATGCCATTGCTTGTATTTCCCTCCAGCAGCCTGTCAAGAGAAATCTCCATCTGGCTGACCAGCCCGTACCTCCTGGACATGGGTACTGAGCGGGGATTACTCTTCAGTTACTCACATGCATGCACGCACACTCTGTGGACCACACTGAGCTCCACTTCCATGACAGCCATTGCTAATCTGTGCTGGCACAAAACGGGAAAAGATGCCAAAATCTAGCATGTTGAAACCACTGCTTTTGCTCCCTGAGCACCTAAGGAAGAGTGCTACATATGATCTGTATCTTACTCACTCAGTTCCCTGCTGAAAGTAGGATCAAACTCCTCTCTCCTGTTGCTTTCCACGCTCAGAAGCCCTGACCCAAGGGAACACTGCTACGCTGTGCTTGTGTCTCTTGCAGTGAGTTCAGACAAGGCTCCTGCTGTAAAAAAGGGGATTGACTGGCTGACTCTATGGTTTCAAGTTGATTTGCTTCATCCACTAGCAAAAGCAAGAAGGATATCATTGCACTGACACACATCAATGAAAGGGAGCTGAGGTGCATCCTACCATTCAGGGCTGGTTACTTGAGAAGGACAAGGGTGAGGGATGCTGAAGTCCCAATGCCAGTGCAAAAGAAAGGTGGGGGTGTGACGGAGAGCACCTTTCTGCCTTTCCTACTCACAATCTCTTGCTAATGTCAATACAAATTATTCTTTAAATGACCGGGGAATTAATCCAAATCAGACCACTCTATACAGAGGTTCGTTGCCCAGCCTGGGAATCTCTGGAGACACACAGCTGCTTCAAAACCCAGGGGGTTTCAGTCCTCCACTCAAGATGCTGCCAGACAGCGGCATGTCAGGATCAAACATTACCTACAGAGGTCATTCGCTGAAACAATCAGGGGAGAGGGAAGGAGGCGGGGAGGGCCCCACAGGGTCAGCACACTTCAAGAGATATTTGACAAAAATGAGCATAATGACACTCTCCATAGAGTCTGTATAATGCATGATACCTGTTCAGGTCAATTCCATTTAGAAACCTTTTGGAGACTCGTGAAAATAGGAAGTGGAAGAGTACAAGTTGTTTGCCTTTCCCATAAAGAGTACTGCAGCCCTGCAGCCTCCCCCATGTACAAGGGCAGCCGGCTCACCCTGGCACTTCAGAGAGTCTTTTAGGGAGCACTGATCCACTTTCTTGCTCTTTGGAGCTCTTTTTTGCATCTGCCCAACACTGTGCAATATTATCAACACAGACTGCCCCCTTTTCAGCTGCTACATCCAGCTCCTGAGTCTTATCTGAGCACTCTGGTCTTTGTTTGCTTGTTTGTTTGTTTTTTTCCCAAAGAACAGGTTGGCCAGAAAGGACCCTAAACCACCATAACATCTAACTGCAGTAGAAAGCGCCACTCAACCCCCTGAAATCTGCATCACAATCTCCTTTCCAAAACAGATGAACTGTCCATCTAGTGAAGAAAGAGTTTATGACAGATGTGTCAAGCAGAAGCAGCCTACCTGCTGATGCTGTGAGCCCCTGGGGAAATCCTCCCCAAGCTCAGCTGGTGCTTAGCCCATGCCCCCAAGCATGAATTCAAATTTTCCCTGGCCAATATTGTTCACCTGGGCAGTCACAGAGAAATTAGGCTGAGACAGTTCTGTCCTTCTCTTGGCACTAAAAGTAGACTATTATCTGGCAACGTCACTACAGACAGATGCAGGCAGGACAGGCACTGCTTTTCTTGCTCAAATTTTGGTCAGATAAGGCACAAGACTCCCTCACCTGTCTAATATCATCACATCTCTAACAGCAAAAATGCAAGTTTCTCTTGTTCTGCTTTTGTAGCAGATCTTTTCCAATTCTTCTGTGTTTTGGATACAAGTATACATAAGCAAAACCACAATGATTTTACAATATAATTCCTTTTATGGGTATACACTCTTCTCTCCTTTAAACCAGTATAACTGAACACTTCTGCTTCAACAGTTTTTTGTATTTGCATCATTATAACTCTTGACTGCCAGGCTAGCAATTCCAGAAACTTCAGGTGCAGAGCAATTGTAATATATTCCTTTAGAAAGTAGTTTATTAAACAACACATTTTTTTTGTCACTCATCACCAGGCAGTGTCACCATGACTGCTGATAAAAAAAGATTAATTTAAATTTTAAAGATCACCTTCTGTTGCTATTAGGAACTGAATATTTTTCATTAGGTGCCAGAGTTATCAGAATTACTTTCCGTTCTAGAGACAGGAAAAATTCTGATAATTCATTTATCACTCTATAAGGCTAATTTATTAATAAAACCAGACACTCTCGTGGAGGCTGTTGGACGAAATAATTAAACTAAGGTTTGATTTAGCATTTGCAGCAGTCAACTGAAGAGGGAACAGTCTGTATAATGTCAGTATGTAGATGCATAAATTCACTGGCTTTTGTAACTACAGCACTTTTGCTGCAGTCTGTGTCTAATAAGGAAAATTTCAACTTTTACACTGGTGAAGGAGGAACAGGGGCTAGAGTACAGAACTGTAACTCTGATTTGACTATCCTGTCCTCCCCCATCCACACCCCTCAGGCACCGCTATAGTCTCTCTGGTGCATTTTTCCCTTCTTGTTTTGAATTTCCACAAAAGAAATGTTCCTTCTTAGCCATATTCAGCTATACCAATATATTTTCTTTTCTACTGGCTGCAAGAGCAATGATCTCAACAAGATACTGCTGCTAAAATTATATATTGCTTTTTCTGCCTTGGACAGCCAGCCTGTTTAAAGTTGTCACTTAATTCCCTGCCAAAACTGTTGTCATCTCAGTAGAAATCCAGCAAAATTACACTTTATTTTAAATAATAATATAATTCTACACTTATATTTTAAAATGTAAGTGTGGAAAAACTGGAATCTCTAAGAAAGCTAGACAGTTCCTTATTGCAATAAAGTAGTTCACCACCCACATTGACTTTTCCCCAGCCTTGACTCGCTCTTGTTTTATTCTCCAATAGAAACATATTAACAAACCTACACTGTGCACCTCACTGTCTTGTTTTTAATTTCACAGTGTGAAAGTGTTGGTGAAGCAGAACAATATTTTCTGAACAGAACTGATACGATTGATCTATTGAATGGAGTGAGGTGCGCTAATTATATGTTGTAAGGTTTCTGGATGTGAAATTTTCAGGTTTGCATTGGCAACTGTAAATGAGATCCTGCGAAGGGCTAGCACGCATGATTTCTCTGCTGCGGAGCGAGATGTTCAAGGTTACTGAACCACATATGCTGCTGTGCCATAGCACTCCGGCAAAGGCTGCGCTTTGACACGGTGCAGAAGAGCAGCTGGAGGGAGAGGGAAACAAGCAGGCGTTGCAGATCTCGAGGGGCTTTAGCAAGCTGAGAACCTGCCATTTGCTTGTGCGGGAAGACTGGACCCAGGGGCATGTGCCAAAGGATGGTACACACAGCTACAGCCTTGGAGTCCGGCCTCCAGCACATCCCCAGGAGCTGGAGAAGGCTAAACCTTGGGCTGATGATGACTGCACCAGGTGTGATCACCCGGTCAGGAGCAAAGCCAGGAAGAGAACCCACAGAAACTCACTCCCACGCCTTTTAACCAGAGAACAAGTCCTGTCTACGACTGTGACTGTTGCCTAGTGGGTAGGGAGCATCTACCTGAGGAACCATTCCTGTGCTATGCAAGGCATATTTTGTTTGTCCTAGCTACAACCTGTGTTAAGGGTACAAGGGGCACCAAAAAAAAAAAAAAAAAAAAAAGGTAGAATTTGATGTCTACTCACATTTATGGGATAAAAGGACATCAAAAGAGTCTGCCCATCTTGTTGCTTCTTCTGTTGACAGTCTTCTGTAAAGAAAGGAAGAGGCAAGTTACAGACAACCCATGGCTGCTGACCCCTCTGGGGCTGTTTGACAAGGACACCGAGAAAGGCTGGAATTCTTCTTGCCTAACTTTGGAGGTCTACAATGTAGAGGACTCCAGGTGAGCAAGTCACCCTGGGATCCCTTTAGAATCAGTGAGGAGATACCAAGCGACTTGACTGTCTTCATCTCACATCCCCAGGTAGGCGGGTAAAATATGCCAGATGAATCACACCTAAAAAGGGACCAATTTTTCCTCATTGACTCTAAGCAGAGGACCAGGGAACAAGTTCAGATGTAGACATCTACATTGTAAAACCCAGAAGTCAAGCAAAATGAAACCCAACCCTGCAGAAGTGTTCATTTCTCTTTCCTGCCTTTCGGGGGAAGGTTAGAGTCTTAGCTCAGACGTAAGCAGTGACTTGTGACCAGACGAATCCCATCCCACTCATCTCACATCAGGACTCTGGATTGTCTGAAGCATCTACCTTAAGCGTTGTGCAAACTAACACATGACTTTCTGGTAGTGCTTAATAGCAGGGCTTAGCCAAAGAGGACTGTGACCCAAAATTGCTGGTCACCTCTTACACCGAGCCAGCTGCTCAGACTTTTATTTGTGGTGACAGAGGGGCAAATTATGTCCTCAAATACATGCAGATGTGTCCAACATACAGCAGTGGGGACCATGCACATGTCCTGTCTCACGGGAGAACTCGTATCAATGATCCAGGTATTTTCTGAGGCTGTTCCTGCTGTATCAATGCTGTTTTGTTTTCCTCCTTCCTTGTGGCTAAAAGAACTAGTCAAAGCTTATACAAAGTACAATAAAAGGAAGAAAATACTAGAGGGGGGTGGTGGGCAGGGAGGGGAAGGACAGAAATGGGGTCGGGGTGGGGTGCTGCAGCTATACTCACTTCAAAGCCCGGTTGGGCTTGTCCGGAAGAATAGCTGTGAAATCATTATATGAGTCTGATTTGTGAGACAGGCAGCCCAGGCGAGTCCTCATCCCTCTGTTCCTGTGGTCGATGTGGGGGAGCAGGGGTGTGAGCAGGGGAAAACCAAAGAAGATGATGATTACAAGTCTAGCCAGAGTGGTGCAAAAAAAAAAAAAAAAAAAAAAAAAAAAAAAAACAACCTAACAAAACCAAAAAACCTCAGTGGCTCCGTGCCTCATCAGACCTGTGTCCTTGATTCCTTCATCTGTGGGAGGGACCCTGAAACATCTCCAGTAGGATGCTAAGCAGGCATTAAGGATGGACACAGCACCAGAGCAGCTGAAGGCTCACCCACACCCGTCATTCAGCTGCTCTGACTGGCAAAAAGGCTTTTAAAGGCTGTGCTTTGGGATGGTTTCTTGGAAAGACCCACTCTGGTCAGGTGTGGGAGAAGAGCAAAGGGCAGCAATACCAGAAATCAGTCACAATGATCCAGCAGCACCAGAAACAGCACGAATACCAGGGCTTGAGGGCAGGAGGGGGCTGGAGGAAGAAGAGAAGGAGTAAGGCACCTGCAAGGTGAGCCAGTGCTGCAGAGCCCTAAGACCCCAGCTGGGATCCCAAGCAGCTTCTTTAGCCTGGGTTACATAAGCAAGGCTAAAACTGCCTCTTTCTTGACAGGCTTACCCAGCCAGAAAACAGCCTTATTGCTTTTTTTCTCTAAATTTCAAACCAGCCCCAGAGCCTTCACTCCTCTGCCAGCTCCTCGCATCCTTGCCAGCCCCTTCCCGGGACAGCCAGCGCGTCCGCAGCATCCTTCGTTACGTAACCGCAGGACGGGGAGGAACACAGGGGGAGAGGGAAACGCAACACACACGTGCATTATACAGGACTGGCATCATCTCCTCTTGATAGTATATAGGTGCCGGTTAATGGTTTTACATGGTCTCTAGAAAGGCAGAGCCTGTGATTTGCCCTCTCCGGACCAAGGGCGTCTCTTCTACCAGATTCCCCAGGTGTTGAACGAGGTCCTTCTCTCCTCCGGACCACGGGAGGAGGATTTAGGGACCCAGTCTCCACTTCTCAGCTGCTGGACCCACTTCCAAGCTGAAGAAAGCCCTTCCGAGCCCTGCTGCCAAACAGATGCCAAATACTTTCTGTGACTGCAGAGGGATGTACAGTATTTTTCCCTTCCATATGTAATTCTTGCAGAACACTTCAGCACCAGCAACTGAGCCAATCTGTAGCACGCCTGTTTCCCCCTTCTCCTCCCGCCCTTTGGAGAGTTTCTATTATTGCACATTTTAATGTAATCTTAAAGCAAATTAAATGTTAATTAAATGCAATGAGTGTCTCCCTGGTGCAGCACAGGCAGCTTGCAGCATTTAACAAGCTCAAAAACCTGGAGATCTTCGGTCACAGGAATTGTTGCACAGCCTCAAACTATGGACCGGCAGCCAGTGGTCTTGGGATGCTGTGCTACGTAAACCTCACACACCAGCACAGAAATACTGCGTGCAAAGTGTCATGTTCCTGGCTGAGCATGCTGGACCTGCTGTGCTCAGACGGACACCGAGTCCGCTGTAGGATCTTTCCGGTACCTTTCCTCATACCTCCTACCCCCAGCCTTTATCTTCCCTCCACTAGTTGTTCTAACAAGCTCACAAATTTCTCAGCAAGAGGTGTGACACGCATTACCGCAATGCTGCTCAGATTTCTCTCTGATGCCTGAGATCAAGGGACTGCAGCAGGGAATCCGAGCGTATGGGGGGCAGAGATGCTGTGCCACGAGCAAGGAACTTGTCTCTCATGGAACACCAATCTCTGGCTGAGGACTTCCAAGACAGGACACGGGAGAAAGAAGGGGAAAGCAACCAGGTCCGCGGGAGGTGGGGAGGCAAGGGAAGGGTGGGAGGGAAGAGGGGACACTGCAGCGAGCTGAAAGGCTCCCTGGACGAGGTAGACAGCGACAGGATGGGCAGGGGTGAGGGATGCATCATGTCTTTTCAGTTACCTCCATGGGATCAGTAAGGCAGCCATTCAGGCATCCAGTTATAGTTAACCCTTTAATTGGCTGGCTTGGACAGCAGTCGGGGCTGTTTGCAGGAGGCAGGAGTGCGGGAAGGAGGGATTTACTGTTTCATGTCCTGGTACTTAAAAATATATCAAAGAATCCTCTGCCAAAAAAAAAAGGAGGGCCAGCTGTTCTCAACCCATTTGATCCTTGCCTCCTAGAGCGGAAGGTCAATTTTTCAATGGAAGATGTTCAGAGTTGAGGGATGATCACAGAGGAGAGACAGCATTTCCTTCTAAGACCAGGACCGCAGGTTAAGTCCAGCTTCAGGTCTATAGTGATTTGAGTTTGGCGTCACAGCTCACCACGGAGCGGCAGGAGTTGGCATTATCGCACTCATCTTTCAACACCTCTGAAGGTCTCTCCTCAACAGGCAGAGCTCCGGGCTGACCTCGCCTAGAAGACCAAACTACCTCTTGTCCCTGTCCCTCCAGGTCATGGCTGATGTTACTGGCCAGGCATCATGGAAAAGCTGGCACTGCAAATAAAATAACAGGAGGACTTCACGTGTCTGCAGTTGCTGGTCCTTTCACCATCACAGGCTCAAGCACTCACACAAAAAATAACTCAAAGAAAGCATCTCCTCTTCGGGGTGGTGGGAGCCTGTGGGGAGCCAACAAGGAGATGCACAGTCTGCAAAGGGGATGGAAGGAGGGGGGGGATGGCAGGGTCCCCGTGAGCCTTGGCACACGGGCAGCTGGTTGAACGAATCTCACACCAGAGAGTGAAGGTGAGGTCCACCAGCCAGGAGACTGATGGGACAGAGAGTAGGACTGTAAACTGAGCAAAGGGCAAAGGTTTCTTATTTGCCAGGACAGGGCCAAGCTCCAGGTAACCTCCATGTCCTCTTGCCCAGAGGGAACAACTGAGGAAGAGACAAAGGAACCGAGGACAGCAGAGACTGTGTGCAGAGGAGCCAGGACCCTACTCTGCTGGGGCCTGGGGAGATCCCGGAGCTTGGGCTGCCCAATGCAACATCCCTTTTAAAACCTGATTACATTAAAAATGCACAAAGCCTCTTCCCAACTAAATTAATGGAACTGGGATTGCGCTACATGCCAGTGAGTGCATTTCCTTAATCCTTACCCCTGACCGGCTGCTTCGATGCGCTTTAACTGAAATCAATCCTTGTAATTCCTTAAGCCCCTTTAAATTTCCTCATTAACAGCCTCACCCACATGTGGGGCCACAGCACATGATATCCCGGAGTCCAGCAGCCCCTACTCCTCCTCTTTCCCACTGCTGCTCCAAAGTGACAGCTGGAAGCGGAGCCGGGTGCCCTCTCCCTCGCAGCCTCCTCTGGCAGCCTGCTTTTTGGGGTACTGTTACGAAACAGCCTTCTGCTCGCCCCCGCTCCCACCCGCTCGCCAGCCCCCGCAGCAACAACCTGCACAGCTGAGCAGCACCGAACTTCCCTGTGATCCCAAAGTCTGTCTGGATTCACGGACACCGAGACCTATATTTCCTGTGAAGGCAATCCCACTGCTAGGCTGACATACCCACGGATATTTCCCTCTGATTTCGAATAAAGCCAGTCAATTATGACTTTAGAAATATGATTTGTGGTGCCTGGTAAAGGCATCCCGGTAGGGGTCCATGGTGAGGGGGTTTTTTTGCTTCCCGCTCCATCATTCATCCTACCTCCCCCTCCTATGAAAGGACCCTGGTCAAGGAGAATTGCCAGTCTCATCATGGATGTGTTTTGGGGGCTTCTCCTTGGAAGACAGAAAGGGAGGGGTGTGATTATAACATTCTGGTTATCAAACCACCCCAGGAGATCACCTGAGCAAAGATAAAGAAGCCATCCCAATAGGAAAAATTAGCAGCACAAAGGTTAAAAAAAAAAAAGTCAAACACGAAATCTCAGGGGCTTCAAGAGATTAAGACCATCCATTCACATGCAGAGAAAGCCAGAAAAAAAAATGAATACAGAGGCACTGCAGACAGACAGACACAGAATTAAAAAAAAATTTAAAAAAAAAATAAAAATAAAAAAAAAATAGATACTCACTGCCTTTGACCTGTCCTCTCTGCCGGTGGGTCTGTGCCGACAGCGTGGTCAGAGAGGCTCTGGGGAGAGAGCAGAGCGGTCTTCTTCAGAGACAGCCCCCTGCACGGGGTGAAAGTCACACTTTGACACCCCTCCCCTCCCCACCTCTCTCCGGGCAGCAGCAGCACAGCTCAGAGCAGTTCTCTCTCTCTCTCTCTCTCGCATCCAGCAAAAAAAAACCCCTCCGGCAGCCTCCACCCGGCAGGCTGGGGCTCGGCTGCGCAGCCGGCTCCCCCCGCTCACCGGCGGCACTGCCGGGGACCCCACCAGGGCAGCGCGGTTCGTTGCATCCCCCCCCCCCCTCCTCACCCACCTGGCAGCAAAACCCCAGCTTCTCCCCCGCTGGAGATGGGGGACCACTCCCCACGGGCGGTGGGTGCCAAAGGCTGGCAGGGAGCATGGGGGGGGGGGGGTGGGGGGGTGGAGGGGGTGGGATGCCTGCGAAAGCGCTCGCTGTTGTCACCCTCGGTATGTTGGAATAAAGGAACCGCCTGCATCGTTTTAATCGGCTCCTCTGAGGTTTGGGGAAGGTTGCTGCCCTCAGATCACGGATCATCAGGAGTTGCCACAGACAGAAGGGAAGGGAGAGTTTCATTAAAGAGCCCAGGTGTTCGCAGGGCCGAATAAAATCGTGAACAGGCAAAGGAGCACCTTATTGCAGGGCATAGGATGAAGGAAGAGGAAAAAAAAAAATCCACCTGGCAAGCCAGTGACGTGACTGACTCCTTGCATCCATCTCCCCTTCCCTCACCCGACGTCTGCAGCCCTGCTCGCTCCCTCCAACCTCTCTCAGGGTGCTCACCCCACCGTACAGGCCCCGATTCCCTTTTCCCTCCCTTACCCACACCTCCATCCTCCACAGGATGTATATGGGGTGTCCAGTGCACCCCAGTGACTCTAAGAACGTCCTAACCCACAGCCCCTCCGGCTCTGGGCTTAGCTCAGCCACCAGTAGCACCACCTGAGCGTCACACAGGCTGCACAGGCACCGAAGTGGGTCACTGACTCACTGAGAGCTCAAGCCGTGGGACTTCCATTGCTTTTTTGACAACGAGAAAGTAGACTGACTTAAAAAATAAAATAAAATTAAAAAAAAAAAAAAAAGTCCTCTGCAATTATACAAGACATTGTCTTTTTCCTGGAAACTTGTCTCTCCTCTGCTAAAACACTGATGGGCCTGACATCCTGGTGCTATGACCAGGAAACGTCTTGAGATAGCACACTTATCGCCCGGCAACATCCCTGGGGAAAGACAGAGTGCTGCAAAACTTACTACAAAAACACAGGGCTTAGTAGCACTGCAGCAACAGCCCCAGCTCTCCATCATCTTGGATCCACTCTTTCATAGCTCAGCTTGGCAAGGAAATATTTGCCTTGTTCTCATCCTTCCACTGCAAAGCCTAGGTCATCCTGATCAGATTAATCATGTCTCCAGTTACCAGAAGACAAGCACTGAAAAAATGCTGTGGCTGATACAATCTCCCCTCAGCCAAGGTCAAAGGTTGAGTTTCATCTTATGCCTCTAGTACAACAAGCTGGTTTGTTCAAGTTAAATAACAGTCAGCTTCAGCCCTTCCCCCCAGGCCAAATTTAATACAGCATCACCAAGGGTTTCATTTCTAACATGTCATTTTTCTTTTAAAGCATTTCCACACTTCCAGGTTCTCTCTGGGCAACTGCAGGATGTCACAAGTGACAGCGTTTTCATCATACTTCCAGGACATCCCTCAGATCTCATTTACACACACAGAGATTGTAAGGTGGGGGAGGTCAACAAAAATGTTCAGTCAACAAAGCTCTAGATGATTCCGGTCCATTATTCAGGTACCTGGACTTCGCTGCAGTCTCAAACAGATCAAAAACTCTGGTCCACTAACTCTGGATGGGATAGATCACAGGACCATGTGAGTGTTCCTGCTCCTCCTCCTGCTTTTACACCAGTTTTATATATTGCCATCTCATAGCCATCGCCAGTTTGGACAGAGACCCCAATTCCTATTTCTCCACTACATCAGTACACCCTTTTCGTGGCCCCAGCGAGGTCCTGGAGCAACCCACAAATGACTATGAACATCAACAGGTTTTTTTCTTTTAGTTTCCTGGGCCAGGTGTGAGTTAATAGAGAACAAAAATATGTGAACTGTGTTGACACAGGCACTATGGGAAATGTAATTAAATTGCAGATAAAGAGAATTATATTTTTTACAGGGCAATATTTTAGAAAGCTTCTGTGCACTAGAAGAGGTTTATAGCAAATTCCTTCTAAAATAGCCCTCCTGCTTCTGACTACTTTGTAGCTTCTATCTAAAAGCTTTTAATAAAATAACTCATTTTGATATTAGGCTTGAATCCCATCCAAAATTTTAAATCTCTCCAAGAAATACTTTAAAGCAATTTCCTCATGACCTGCTAACAGCAAAATACACAAGCAGTGAACACATGCAGCGTTGGGAGTGTTGACTGTCACTAGACAGGGTGGAAGGGAATTTAACAGCCTGCTCCTGGGACATTAATCTCTCTACCATCTCCAGGGACCTTTTCACACTCCCTGTCATTTTAACTTCCTCCCTGCCTATTCTCTGCGTTTAGTCCATTAATCATCATTCAAGTGGGTTTTACCCCAAAACTTCTTCCGGACCAAACACTTCTACCAGTTTCACTTAGCTCCGGTTTCTGCCACTTATCTGCTAGATGAAATCACATGGCCTGAAGACATCTGTTCCTTCCAGTACGGCTGCCCTCACATACCTGTCCGGACCGGGAAGGCAGCTCTGGCTGGTAGTCGTGTGGCTTTTGCCCTCCCCAAATGCAGTGATGCTCCTCCCGGGGCTGGCAGCTGACCACCCTTCTCAGTCTGGAGCTGGAAAACCAAAGGATGCCTGCGCCGACTAGCTCATTTGCTTGGCTGACATCTCCAGGGGGTTTACCTTAAAGAAACTCCTCCACCTTGACATTTAAGCAGGCTTCTCCCTGTTTTCTCACTCTCGCTCTGTTTCCTCAGGGGTCTGCTGCCACCGCTCTGGGATTCCATTATTCTATGCTTAACGAGCCGTCATGCTGAGCCTGCCACTGTCGCTTCCACTTCTCATTTCTGACTTTGTGGCCTTGTCATACTTACAGTGATCCATGCCACAAGCGATTTGAACTTCTTTGGGGTTGTGTTGGCTCTTCCTTTGCGACTTTTCCTGGGTCTGTGCCAGCATCTCTCTTTTCTAGTACCGTACTGCAAGGAGGTTGTTTGAGCGTAGACTTCATGACTTGCTAGTCCAAAAGTTTTTTATCTAGTGCCAAGAAAGTGCTTCTTCAGTCTGCTGTAATGTTTGGTAGCTATATCCCCATAGGTGAAGTCATTCTTTGTTATGTTTTCTTGAGATCCTGTTGCCTCTGGGATCTCTCCAGAAGATGCTCAGTGATGTAGGCTCTGTGTCTGCAAAAGGCCAATTACACGAGGCTGGCTGTCTTCCACCGTAGTCACTGCTTTGGGAATTCAGGTGACCTGCACGATGCAAAGCCTGCCTTTGGCTCAACAACAAGCCTGCAGGCGTGGGTCCATTGCTGCTGTGACCCAAGGGGGCTTTGGATTTTTGCTGGAGGACTGATAGGAACAGCCACCCTTGACCTGGAGTGACAATCCTAGCAAATCTCTCATGACACAAAGTGTCATTTGATCTCCTCTGACACACGGTCGTTCAAAATTTGTCCAGAGTCCGGACTGATACCTATATGGGCCCAATCCCAAGGTAATTCAAATAAGTAATGAATTTCTCTCCAGAGCTTGCTGTTCTCCACCACTGTTTGCAATTAAAGCTGGAAGAAAATGGTTGGTAAACGGACATCTGATGTGCAGTGTTCTGCTCCCTGTGCCAGGCTGCCTGGGTGCTTGTTTTAGGGTCCAGGGGAAAACACACTTGGGCCAGCACGAGGTGACTGTCTTGGCAGGGAGGAATTACGGCTGACAGCTAGCTTCCTAAACTGTGAGACAAATCACAGGCTTGTCTTACTTGTGAAGAGAGCCATGAGAACAGCTGCCCCTTCTAAAAAGGAGCTCCAGTAATGTCAGGAAACATCCACAGGTGTAGCTCAGAATGTTTTTAAGGGGTTGGTTTTTCTATTCACCTTAAACCTCAAATAATTTTCCACCTTAGGCCAGGCAAGCAGGAAATCCTGCGAGGTGAAACAAGGAGAGCTTGAGTTTCAGGAGTAGGTGAGGAAACCAAGCAGCTGATGTACAGGATGGGGGGTTGATAAAAGAAGCCACCTCACATGTGCTAACGAGAGAAGGCAGGAGATAGGAGACACCCAGAGTTGAGTTCCCTTTGAAAATAAAGGACTGCGTTTAAAAATAAAAACGAGTTACATAAAGCGTGATCCACAGTTCTGTCTCAGGCTTAGCTCAAGAGCATGGCAGCTATTTAAATTCTCCCCTGTGTCAATGACAAAAGTGTCTCCCGGACACGTTTGCGGCGCTGGAGCATTGTGATTGCTGCAGCAGAACAGATGCCTCAGCTGCGAGATGGCTCCTGGCCCCAGCCCGCGCGCTCCCAGCTCCCTCCCCAGTTCCTCCGGGCAGGTGGGATGCAAAACCAACAGCTAAGCAGGGCGAGAGGCTCCGGAATGAGAGGGGCAGCACACGAGACAGGAATCAAAGGGTAGAATTTCCCTTTTAAAGCACTTTACTACAAATTCGTAATTGTTCTCTGAGGAAACGTGCTGCCATGCCCGGGAGCAGTTACACGTAGAGAAGCACGTCGGTGCCTCTGTGTGTGCGTTGGAGAGGATGCTGTTAGCGTGGAGCAGGGAGGCAGAAAGGATTGGAGTTGACACAGAGCTGCTCTGTGCAGCCTTGGAGTCCTCCCAGCTTTCAGCATCGCTGCTGCTGTCAATATGGCAGTGTCTGTAATGCAGTTGGTGTGCGCGGCTGGGAAGCCGAGACAGATCCACCTCGACAGGCAGAGCTCCGCAAAGATCCCCTGCCGCAGATGCTCTGTCCCTTGCACGTTCTGATTGAGATCGGATGGTC